AACTAGAGTCTTTCGCATGAAAGGCAATGTTAGAACCAAACATTTCTATCTGTTTCATCTGGATTGTTATTATTAGGATATAGAACTTGTAATTGAGGTACCCAAAAATTTGTTAAAAAAATATAAATATCCTTCACCTGTCAGAGAGTCATCAAAAAAGTAAGGCCCAATGATTTTATTTTCAATAATACCACACCACACATTCACTTTTTTAGGAAACTGAGTGTGAGTCTCCATTATCCAATGAGGATTTTCTCTGTTCCAATAACGATAATTGTGTCGGTTGATAGTACCATTTAAGTAAAACGTTGCTTCGTCCGAAAAAAGTATTTTCTGTAAAAACGGCCTTCTCAAACTTTTTTAAATATCGTATTTTAGATAGATTTCCAATGTTTTTAAATGAATACAAAATTTTGTCTAAGTCAACCCAAACTGCAATACATTTCAATTTCAATTTATTCAAAAAATATAACAATACAAAGTAATATACTTAAATTCTATCATAGATTATCACAACTTTTATGGCACCCCGCCACACTACACAGCTCATGTACGTGACTTTTTAAATCAACATTTTCCTCAACACTGGATTGGTAGAAGGGGTTTCATTAAATGGTCCCCAAGATCGCCAGATCTATCACTATTGGACTTTTTCCTATGCGTTATTTAAATAATGTTGTTTATAAGACGAAACCAACATCTTTAGAAGATCTTCGCCACCGAATAGTGCTAGCATGTGGAGAAATAACCACTGAAATGGGGTCGTTAGTAACAGTGAATTTAGTTATTAAATTTACTATGTATTGATGGATAAGGTTGTTACCAGGATGTTACTGTTACTAACTGTTACTAACGACCCCATTTCAGTGGTTATCAACCTACAATAATTAATTAAAGATAAAAAGAAGCCCCTCTTGAAATCAAAATCTACCGGTCTCCGGGATTTTCTAATGAAACTTCTAGAAAAATATTTAATTGAGCCACTCTGTATATTAAAGAAATTGAATCAATTTTACATTTTCGTTTCACTGTTTATGCAGATGATGTTTCCCTAATAACTCTCAAAAAAAAAAAATAATAATAATAATAGATACGACGCCGAATCTTCAAATTTGATTTGAAAATCATCATTTAAAGTTTAATGTTAAGAAAACATGTTTTTAGACTTATTGTGAAATTTTAACAATTAAATTAAACTCTATATGTTACCTATTAAATAATATAAGATTTACTTTAACAAATAAACAATTGTGCATGTTTTATATATACAGGGTGGTCCATATTTGTGGAATATATTAATTATTGGCTTTATTATTACGTTTTGAAAAAAATCCTTGAACAGGTCGATTTTGATTTCTAAAATGGCATTTTCTGAACAAAGTTATTTATCTCCCCCTTTAATCCTTTCGGAGTAAAAGTCGCCCCTTTAATTTTTTTAAATAGAAAGGGGTAGAGTGTGATACCTCATTTTAAAGGGTTTTTAATTCCCTATTCAGCAGTATAAGATTTTTTGTCTTTTGTACATTTATATTCAAGAAACATCAATTTTTATTTTTAACTATTCTATTAATAATACTACAATTTTATGGTATTAAATGTTCAAAATGACTGCCGTTAACTTCTTGACAATAACCAATGCGGTTATTAAATTCTTGAAGAACATCTTGTATGACGTCCGGGCCAATTTTTTCAATTTCTTCGGTGATTCTTTCTTTTAATTCGTCAATAGTCTGCGATCGATTTAAATACACTTGAGACTTTAAGTGGCCCCAGAGAAAATAATCAAGCGGCGCAAAATCGGGAGATCGAGGTGGCCATTTAATGGCTCCACTCCTGCCAATCCATCTGTTAGGAAATACTTCATCCAAGTAGTCTCTCACTCAACGTGCAAAATGTGGTAGAGCACCATCTTGTTGGAACCAAACATTTCTATCTGTTTCATCTGGATTGTTATTATCAGGATATAGAACTTGTAATTGAGGTACCCAAAAATTTGTTAAAAAATATAAATATCCTTCACCTGTCAGAGAGTCATCAAAAAAGTAAGGCCCAATGATTTTATTTTCAATAATACCACACCACACATTCACTTTTTTAGTGTGAGTCTCCATTATCCAATGAGGATTTTCTCTGTTCCAATAACGATAATTGTGTCGGTTGATAGTACCATTTAAGTAAAACGTTGCTTCGTCCGAAAAAAGTATTTTCTGTAAAAACTGCACATCTGCCTGACATCTGTTCATTATTTGTTCACAGAATTGTAGCCTTCGGTCTGGATCGTCCTCAGATAACTTCTGTACCAACTGAATTTTATAGGGATGGTACTTTTCTTTGTGTAAAAAACCCAAAATTGTTGTTTTACTGACGTTGTGTTCGGCAGCAAGTTGTCTAGTAGATTTATGCGGATTTTCTTCAAGGGCTATCATAACATCTAATCGTTTATCCTCATCAACGTCAGGGGTTCTTCCTGCGCGTTACGAACTTGCTTCACATGCCCAGTACTACGAAATTTCTTAGCTACTTTGCTAACTGTAGACTGTGAAATATTATGTCCTGGATATTTATTATTAAATAATTCACATACCTACCTATGCGTTCGTTTTCTATTGTCACAACCAAGCATTATTAAAATATCTATTCTCTGAGTTTCAGATAAATACGCCATAACGACTGTTCATAAAATTGAACTAATTAAGTAGTATAAATTATAATCGTCAATTGTAAATAAATGTTCCTTGCTTATTCTCTTGTAGCAGAATAGGAAAAGTTTTTCATAAAAAGCTCGGTTTAACTTTTTATTGCCATTTTTTAACATGGTCTAAGATAAGATAGAAATATTATTAATAGAATAGTTCAAGGGCTGGTTAAAAGCTTTAAAAATAAAAATTAATGTTTCTTGAATATAAATGTACAAAAAAAATCTAATACTGCTGAATAGGGAATTAAAAACCCTTTAAAATGAGGTATCACACGCTACCCCTTTATGTTAAAAAAAATTAAAGGGGTGACTTTTACTCTAAAGGGGTTAAAGGGGGAGATAAATAATTTTGTTCAGAAAATGTCATTTTAGAAATAAAAATCGACCTGTTCAAGGATTTTCCTCAAAACGTAATAATAAAGCCAATAATTAATATATTAATGTATTAATATATTCCACAGAAGTTGAGAGTAGATTAAGGCACGGTTTAGTTTTCCGGGGTGTCTCTAAACTTTTCAAAAATGTATTTCTAAAACAAAAAGAGTGTAGCGCAGAGGTTCCTGCTGCACAAACTTATTTAAGCCAATGTAAATTGTCTTTAAGGAAAATAAATAAAAAATATTGCTGATTTCCCTTTTCAAAGATGAGTCATATTTCCACTTTTCCTCTCTGAAAAAATTGAGGGGTTGGATGTCACATACTTTTTAAAATAAACGAGTTGGCAAGGAGAAAAAATCCCTCTCACTGTAAGTATCACTACATCAGAAAACTCATGGAAACAAGTATTAAAAATAATTTTAAAAAACCGACTTCACAATCGTGTAGATTTAGGGTTACCAGATGTCAGGAAAAGGTTCAGAAAAATCATCAAACGTGTTAGGGTATACTTAAAATAGCGTATAAATTTTTTTTATTTTCTCATAGGTTTTTATGTAAATATCTTGTGAAGTTGTGTTTATGTACGACTTTTGTATAATATAATGTTTTATGTTTAATTTCACGAATTTTTAATTGAGGGAGTGTTTTTGTTTTTAATTTTTGACGGTAGGTACTTTTTTAATAAAACATTTAGCAATTAATTTCATAAGTTAGAGTTTTATTATTTTTTCCGCAGTTTTATTATTTTGTCCGAAGTTTTATTATTTTGTCCAGAATTTTATTATTTTGTCCGGATTTTTAAAGAAATGTCCGGAATTTTTATCAGGAAAGTCAAGAAATTGTATCTTTAAATATGGTAACCCTATGCAGATTACATCACCACATCTTGACCAAATTTATATGGGACTTCCCCTGAGGTACTCCCTTACTAACAAAAAAGAATTATCGCTGAACATACATAAAAAAAAACACAAATAGTCGGCATTTGCTCGGCCTGACACCGACATGTACGGGAAGTCGAGAATTCGAATTGCCATTGTCGGGGTTGCTTCTAAGCCGGGAGAATCGTACCATATAACGTAATTTAGAAGTAGAAACCGCATGTGGTCCATATTTGGCTTTCCAGACAGGGGAGGCATCCTTACGGGCCGAACTAAATATAGATATATGAACGGGGCTGCAATGTAGTGGGCTGCCGACATTCGGCTGGGTGGACATCTACCTATATGCCATATATCGGGCCGAGTCCGGCATCCGGCAAGCCTCCGCCCAGTTACGGGGCTGATTAACTATGTTTACTGGGAAATTGCCATCGAATACTTATTAACAGTATCAACGGAGGAAATACCAGCTGACATTATGACGAAGTCATTCATAGCCACAGCATTATTTTTTTTTCTTTGTAAAATAATAAAAAGTTGTAGTTTTGGTAATCAGTCAATAGTTCAAGGAAAGGTGTTAGTAATATCTAATCTAGTAACTAATTACCTAACGTATTTGTGTTTTATTTCTTGTTTATTTGATATGAAGTAGTTGTCATTTTCTTAACTGACTAGTTTTAAAAGATACTGTCGAGAAAAGAAATCTATTAAGGTCTTTAAATAATAAAATATTGAAAAATATTGCTTTAATCGGCGTAGTTGCAACAGTAAGCTCACATTACTGAGCTGTCTAATATAACAAGATAATATAAACCTATTTTATATAGTTTTCAAGGAGTTGTAACGAAAAATATCGTTCATTACTTATCCAGAAACGCTTTTCCCGCGCTTACATGACATTCAGAGGTAATAAATTAGAAATTTACAATCTTTGGTATTCAAGCTACTAGCCTATCCCATAGCGACCTAATGATTCAAAAAATTAAACGGGATAGATAAATTTATTGTGAAACCCTTAATTTATAATATTTTTTGTTTTGCAGAAACAATACCGATGGAATGGAAGTCGACGAAACGAAAGTCCGGGTGCCTTTATTATTCTGGATACCGATATTGTTTTGTGGAGCATTGTTGTTTTTCGCAGATGTCTTCGAACATCAATTCACCATTAGATTTACTAAATCATTATTTAGAAGTGCTTCCTATGAAGATCATTCCTTAGTTGGTTTTACTATTAACACCCCGGGTTGCAAAATACCCCACATGGACCCATTTGATAAACACGTCACAACATTTATCGAAAATCTTTCGAAGCCAAAGTGTAACAATGGAAAGCCTCCACTTTTTGCATCAAATTTAACATCTGTTTTTTTGTTAACGTCTTCTTTGGCAAATTATAACATTACTGATACAGGTGATTTGAAATGCTGTTACGAAACTTTTTGGCGAACAGAACCTAAAAAGGGTCAATCTGATAACAAAATTAAATACAGTTCTACCTGTTACGGCTTCCAGAACATCACAAATATTACAGAAGAATTTATAAAAGTAACTTGTATATACGACAATACTACAATATATAAAGATACGTTTTCATTTGTACCTTTAAAAAACACAACCAAGATTGAAGCTGATTCTAAAAGATTAAATGTCCTCTTAGTAGGTTTAGATGCTGTATCTAGGTTAAACTTACATCGGCAAATGCTTAAGACTGTAAAATATTTACAAGAACATGAGGCTGTAGAATTACTAGGATACAATAAAGTAGGTGACAATACTTTTCCCAATTTAATGCCTGTTTTAACAGGTTTATCCGAAGAAGAACTCAAAAATAATTGTTGGCCAAGTTCCTCGCACTATTTTGATAATTGTTCGTTTATATGGAATTTGTATAAGCAGAAAGGATATCTCACTGTTTATGGGGAAGATTCATCTTGGATGGGCCTATTTAACTACCAAAGAAAGGGTTTCCAGAAACAGACCACAGATTACGCTTATAATTATTTCAATAGATTAAGTGAAGATTTAATCGGCAACTCCCATGTGATGAACGTATTTCAATGTGAGGGGGGTAGACTGGTTTATAAAGATTTATTAGATTATATTTCAAAGTTTGTAATAACGATGGATGAAAATAGCTTACCCTATTTTGGGTTCTTCTGGGGAGCAAGTTTATCTCACGATAATCTTAATATGCCTAAAGTCGGCGACCAAGATTATTATATATTTTTTAAAAAACTTTTAGAAGAAAAACGTTTAGATAATACAGTTTTAATTTTTATGAGTGATCATGGAATTAGATGGGGCGACATCAGACAAACTTTTCAGGGCAGAATGGAGGAAAGATTACCATTCGTATTTTTATTACTGCCGAAATATTTTCAACACAAGTATAACACAGCCTATCAGAACTTAAAATTAAATACCAGGAGATTGACCACTCCGTATGACTTGCATGAAACTTTAATCGATTTAGCTAATCCTGAATTGCTAGTGGAAGAGAATTTAAAAAACACGAATGACTCGACTAGAGGTATCAGTTTTTTCAGAAAAATTAGCAAGAATAGGACTTGCGAAGATGCTTCAATTGCAAGTCATTGGTGTACTTGTCAACAAAGTCAAGAAGTGAACATTACCAGTAAAGTTCTCGATGCCGCACATTCTGCAATAAACAATATAAATGTTCAACTCAGTGGATATGCCCAGTGTGCAGAACTTTCCTTAGAAGAAGTACTAAATGCGAGATTAATGCGGCCTCAAATTCCTGGATCAAATAAGATTTCAGATTATATGTTGACATTGAGCACATTACCAAGTAAAGCTATTTTTGAGGTAACTATGCGAACGACTGACAAAAATAACAGTTTCGAAGTGATAGGTACTATTAGTAGGTTAAATCTGTATGGAAAGCAGAGTTTGTGTATTACAGATTTTCATTTAAAGTTATACTGTTTTTGTAAAAGTCTACTGTGATAGGTAAATTGACAAAGTTTACATTGATTTCTTTATATGGTACCAAAGGTATCGTTTAACAGGACCTAATGAAAGCCTTTGTAGTTTAAGAAGGAATTGATTCATTTTTTACTGGGTAAAAGGAAAACTTAAAATATCTTCTTAATAAAAAAAATATTAAATATCAAATTGAACGTGATAAAATTGTTGGATTTAGATGTTGCTTCGTGTTAATTTCCACGCAACAAGAGCATATTTGATACAGAAAATATGGTGACTATGAAAAACCCAAGTTGTGCAATTAATATAAATATTATATTATAACTAGCGGGAAAGTGTCATGTCATTAGCTTCTTCCATTTTAAAATCGTGTAATTAAAATATTAGAGGCTTATTCAAGGAACCCAACGTTTTGAAGAAATCAGTTTAATAGGTCCATTAAAATTGATATTTTAAAAAAAAACTTAAAAAAAATATATTGTTTTTATAATATTTACAACTATAAAATTATAGAAAATATGAAAAAGATTTTGCAGACGATAATTTGAATGTAGTAAATTGGGTTCTTGAGATTGCCCCTATATTAAAATGAAAATAAAATTTGCCTGACAAGAAAAATAAAATTTTACATAGTAAATATTTGTTTTATTTGTCTACCTAACATCTATGGGTGAGATTACAGAACGTCTGCAACTTTGCATCTGCAACTTTGCAAATATGGCGGACTTACAAATGTAAGTATTCCAAAAAATATCTGCAAATTCGCAATATTTATTGTGGTTTATTACCCCCAACAACACTAAACCCAAATTTGGAATACGAAAACTTGATACTTGCATGTGTAAGTCAGTCATATTTGCAGATTTTCAAAGTTGCCGCCATATTTGCAGATCTGCAAAGTTGCAGACGTTCTGTAATCTCACCCATATTTACAAAATATTTTTAAATATTCACCTACATGTAAATCCTTAAAAGTAGAACCGTCAATTTAGAGAAAAACGTAGAGATGGGCGATTTCGTAAATCTTCAAGCAATTGAAAATGAGATTATTATTGTTTCCTTTATTTAGCTAAAGTCTATTCAGATTTCATTTACGCCGCGTCAAAACAATCTCTCCCATCCAGCAACAGCTCACGTGGCATTTTCTTTGCGCTTCTATTGGTTAATCGGTCGTTAGTCATTTAGACGACGCGCAAATATTTTTTGTCAGAATCGAATTCAGTTCAATTTGGATAATTATAAACGGCGTTTTGGTAGCATTCACCGTGTTGGTTAGTTTGGACATTTTGTATGTTTGATTGATTATAATTCATTATATTATAGTTTAGATATTGTGTTATTTATTTTTTTTTGTGGTTGTTGTTAGTTTGAACATTTTTTACTCTATTTTATGGACATTTAATTGACTATATTTTGTAACTGCTGCGTGACACTATGTCCTCCACAGATACAGCAGATGAAGTCCAGAAAAATGTTTTTACTCCTTCTAAAAAGCGACCGAAAAAGGGACATTTGGTCATCCGTACTAAAGAAATGGTTCTTAACATTTATAAGCATTAAATTTTATAGAACCCTGATATGTTGGTACATGATGTTGAAAGGAGAGTTGCTGATAAAACAGGGATGTGCGCTAAAACCGTTTTTAATGTTATGAAGAAGTATAGGCAGATTCATAAATTTTCTGAACCAAAAAGAAAGCTACGTTATAAACAAATTAGTGGCTCTGTGGATGATTTTGATAAAAATGCAATAAGGCGCAAAGTATATCAATTCTTCTTTAGAAATTAACTTCCAAAAATCGATAAAGTTTTATAAGAAGTCAACGATGATCCATATTTGTCTACTTTTAAGCGAGCTACATTTTACAAGCTTTTCAAAACCCTTAATTTTAAATTTAAAACTCGAGGAAAAAATAGTTTGCTTTTAGACAAAATGAAATTGTTTCGTCCTACGCCACAAAAAAATTAATAGGTACAGAGAAGAAAAGCAAAAAATATATTATCTTGATGAGACTTGGATTAACGCAGGCGACACCAAATCAAAAGTATGTTTCGATAGTAATCAAAGTATGTGGTTAAAGGAGTTAAAGGAACTTGGCAGACCGAACGCAATGTCAGATGCATCCGATGTGGATTCTCAAACGCAACACAAGTTTGTCAATTTATCCTTTAGCTGCGTTTGAGAATCCACATCAGATGCATTTTTTACATCTCGAGCGTTTTTTTATCCACATCGGACACATCTGTCCCATTACATTTACGTATACTGAATCACGTGATCAAAGATTTTTTACATCTCAGATGCATCCGATGTGGATTCTCAAACGCAGCATTTGTTTGTGCTAGCATCACATACTAGGTCTTTTCCTTTGCATCGAAAGTGTAGCACTGAGCTACACCACTTCTGAAAATTTCGTTCCATTTATACAAATTGTATGGATGGAACGGTATTTTCAGAAGTGGCGTAGCTCAGTGCAACACTTCCGATGCAAAGGAAAAGACCTAATTTGATTACTATACGAGACAAGAGAGAGGTCCGACACGCCCAACATAGGGCGCGGCCATTTTGAACCCTGTGACACAGTTTACAGCTAAAGAATCAGATCGCTCACTCTGCATCGGCACTTTTGATATCAATGTTTCAGTTTATACACTGTGCAACTCGGATAATACAATATATGACAACCGCCTATTAAAACAGCAGTCTTCTGCGTATCCTGAATCTGTATCCCTGGAGTGGATGTTATTTTGGAACTTTCAACTGGTCCGAGTGAGCTAACGATTCTTTAGCAATAAACTGTGACTTCAAAAATAATTAGGTTCTTTCGTTCGTCCCACTGGTGTAGGAATGAACTATACCAACGTACCTAAACCTTTCGTTCGGCCCAGTGTAAAATCCACTAAACCTTCCTGTCGGCGATGTGGTATCCACTGGTGGATATTTTCTCCACCAGGGGGGCTATTTTCAAACTCGAGAGAATTCATTTCTCTCAAGAGAAATGTCATACGTCAACGTAAAACCGTATTTTTAGGGCTCTTAGGGCCAGTGTGAACTCACTGACTGTTTCTATCGGTTTATTTAGAGAGAATTAAAATCTTCCTAAGAATTTTAATCCTCGATGCCTTTAAAAACAACATTTCCACATTGACGTATGACATTTCTGATGAGAATCTTGAGAGAAATGAGTGCTCCCATACTTTGAAAATAACACCCCTGGGGACCTATTTTCAAACCGTGTGAGTACTCATTTCTCTCAAGATTCTCATCAGAAATGTCATACGTCAATGTGGAAACGCTGTTTTTAAAGGCCTCGAGGATTAAAATTCTTAGGAGGATATTAATTATCTCTAAATAAACCGTGAGAAACAATCAGTGAGTTTACACTGGCCCTTAGGAACCTAAAAATACTGTTTTACGTTGACGTATGACATTTCTCTCGAGAGAAATGAATTCTCTCGACTTTGAAAATAGCACCCCAGCTATTTAGCAGGAGTGAATTACACTCGACATGTATATAAGGAATAAGGAGGGAAGTAAACTAAGGTAAATAAAGTGGTGTAACTGGTGTAATTTACACTGGTGTACACTTCACCAATAGCGAACGAAAGAACCTATTGTATGTGATTTGGGATCTCGTGAGTGGAAATTTTAGATTTTGATCCGGCAACACTGGGTATACAAAATTTGACTTTGACATTTCATTTAAAATCTATTTTGGCACCTGCCAAAATCAAAAATACCAATACGAAATTCGTCATTGATCACACGTTCAACGAGTGCAATAATAATGCTGAGGTCTGCGATTTTAGCTGAAACCGTTTTAAAAAATGGTCCAAAGGTAAAAATAACATTGCTTTATTTATAATTTAACTTAATATTTCACTATGCAATAACCTTGAACTCCCAAATGTTAGATAAGATGTTATAAATAAAAGTATTATATAAACTTTGCTTTCTTCCGGATATCTAGGTTCTTGGTTCCGTACCAAATCCTCGTTGGCAGCCTCAACAACAGCAAACTCGAAATCTCAATGTTCATGAACACATCAGTTACACATTATTGAAAAATGCAGGAATTCCTGTCCCTAAATTTGGTGTTGCCAAAAATAAAGAAGAAGCTAAAAAAATTGCCCAAGACTTAAAAATAAAAGAACTGGTATTAAAAGCTCAAGTTTTAGCTGGTGGTAGAGGTAAAGGAAGCTTTAAAAATGGACATAAAGGTGGTGTCTGCATGGTTTATTCGTAAGTAACAATATTTTAGTTTTTTCATCATTTTGTGCAATTACTAATTTGAAAATTATTAAATTCAGCAAGAATGAAGTTGATTCTTTCATTGTGAATTCAGTGTCAGAGTTGCCTATCAACAAAATTTTAAAACAACTGGTCTTTGTATATTATTTGAAAATCATTTCCATGCATGCCAAAGTTGCCTATTTTTAAAAATTATTCGTTTTCAGTGCCACCATCTATACCTAAAGATTTGGCAGTTACCTATGTCTAGTAGACACATGTAAAGTGCTTTGATCTCCATTTACTCACTTTTAATAAAAAATGCTTCTTTATTTCATTCTTGCTGAAGACATGGTCAACTGATAAACTCTAAAAATATAACTTAATACCTAATTAGAAATACTTATTAGTATGTGGCACAATTTTAAGGTAATTCTTAAAAAAATTATATAAATGTACATCTGCAATGGCATCATAAAGATTACCAAGTTTTAACTTGATACTAATTTTTGTTACAAACAGTTTTTACTTTACTTTATTTTGAAATAGGACTTATGTTATTATATAGTTTTGTCTTAAAATTGGGTAAGGAATTGCACTTTAACGTTTGGCTACATACTTAATGAACATATTTGCTAGTAAAAGTAGCAAAACCATAAATAATACATGCAGGATAATGCTTTGGATATTATGCCATGACGGAATAATTTTTTGTTAACAATTTGGTACTTTTTTTTAACATTTGTGGTAATAAAATATTTGTTAATATTAAAAAAAAAAAACTTAAAAATCAGAAAACAATGTTTCCAAATATTTTTTATTAGGCCTGAAGAAGCAGAACAAGTTGCTGGAAAAATGCTGGGCCAATACCTAGTCACCAAACAAACTGGAGAAAAAGGAAGAATATGTAATGCTGTCATGGTAGCAGAAAGAAAATTTCCCAGGAAAGAATTTTACTTTGCAGTAATGATGGAACGTGCCTTTAATGTAATTAAACAATTTTTATCTCTTTTAATTTAACTTCAACGTTTTCTCCAATTTTTACCAGTTAAGTGTTAAGAAATATGTTTTAGGGCCCTGTTATAATAGCGTCCTCCCAAGGTGGTGTGAATATTGAAGAGGTGGCTGCTGAGAATCCTAGTGCTATTTTATATGAGCCTATTGATATTATCAAAGGCTTGACAAAGGAACAAGCTGAAAAAATAGCCTGTAAAGCTGGTTTAGAGGGCCAAAAAGACAGGACTGCAGATATGCTCTTGAAAATGTATGATCTATTCATTAAAAAGGATGCACTTTTAATTGAAATCAATCCTTATGCTGAAGATGCAGGAGAAACGTGTAAGACATTAATTTTTTTTCATTTAGCATAACATTTGTTTATTTATTTATGGGTTAAAATCCATTTTACCAAATTATTTAACAAATGTAAAATGATTGACAGCATTACAGTGAGTTAAAAACTTAACACTACTAAGTAAAAAATAAAGAAAAATAAAATAACATGTTTAACAATTACTGTCCAACATATGCTATCACAGTCACTATTTAGAAAGTTGTGTGAATCATAAGAATGGTAAAAAATAAAGTCATTATCTACATATTTTATCTTGGTAGGTATAGACAAAGGAACATCATATGATATTAGTAGGTGAAACTGAATTAATTCTAAAAAAATAATACACAAGGTTGAAAAACTATTAATAAATTAATTACAGTAATTCACCAACCAATACATTGATTCTTTTTACTTAGAGAAAAGCATATTTATTATATTATTTATACATTATAAAATTTTAGACATTTTGAACTTGTTTGATAAAAAAAATATAATTAAATCACCAAAACAAACAAATGCCCTTTATCAGCTTTATGATTTGATATCTATTACAATATGCATTAACAAGTAAAACATCTAATTTATTGTTCAAAGTTCAATTTTTATTTAAATATTGTAATAACCTCGATTACATAAACAAAGTCAGGTTTATCACACTTAGTTGTTGAATATAAAATTTCACGTTACGTTTTTTGCTGTTATAAAAATTAATTTTAAAATAATAATTTTTTTATCATTTAAAGCTATTATTGGCTACACTGTCGATTTTTGATCTATATGTACATTCTCTATAATTTAGCCTTTCATAAACTAGTAACACATCACTTCAAGAAGTATATGGATATCAACTTCAGTTTTTTAACCATTTGAGACATTGCTATGAAATTTGCCAAATTTTTGTAACAGTTAAATGGTTGGTTTTGACATAAATATGACTTATTTAAATGACAAGAGGGCATAATTATTTAGTTAAAGTTTTTCTTATAGAAAGGTAATTATTGATTTGTCTATACTTAAAATAAGGTTAAGGCCGTGACAACATGCTATGGTTTTCACACGTTTTCATAATTGGAACTACAGTCTAATTTAAATTGCATTTACATTCATATTCATTTAGCAGAAGTTTCTAAAATGCACAAAAATGGTACAGGGCATTATCTAAAACTATTACGCTATTTTCATTTAGTTTTGGTAGTAATGTACTCTCAAACCATTTTTCAAAAAGAGCACTTTCTATGTCCTGGTGGTAGTCCAAACTACTATCCCGTACATACTTTGCAGACAGCAAGAGAGCTCCTTCTACCCAACCTGATTCTCCATTACAATGTAAGATACATATTCTTTTTCCTTGAGATGGAGAAGTGTCTTCATTACATTTTAAACTTCCATCAGTCCATCATTTTTTTTTATGATGTGAGTGTCGAACCAGGTTTCATCTAAAAAATTAATGTCTCTGCCGAATATTTATCAAATCAAATACAAAATGTGTTAGAGAAGTATGGGCCTGAAAAGTTTCTGGTTATCATTGGTGACAATGCTGCAAATATGAGAGGAGCTTTTTGATTATTAACAAAAAAATTCGATCACATTGTGCCATTAGGCTGTATTACTCACCTACTGCATTTAGTTTGGAATGACATATTGAACTGCGAATCTATCAAAACATTTATGGCAAAAGTTAACAGATGCTATAAAAACTATCAAAATCAATCATATTCTTTGTTTATTAAAATCACCAACGAAAAGAAAATCAATGTTTCTCTGAAACTGGCTGTGAAAACACAATGGCGAAGTCATTTGTTCTGCCTACAGAGCCTTCGCCTAAATAAAAGTGTTTACAAACACTAACAATAAGTGACGAAGTATCTGGAACACTATCAAAACAACTAAAAACTTTATTACTTGATGATTCTATATTTTGGGTACAAGTTGACAAAATGATAAATATTTTGAGGTCAATTGTTGATCAGTCTCCACTGAAAAAATTGGAGGAAACTATGGTACTGAAAAAAAATGAGCGAAAGAAAAGATTTTGCAATAGGAAAAATATATTTAGCTACAATCATGTTAGATCCATCCTCCTAAGGTCATTAATTGACTGCAGAAGAAATAATGGATGTCATAGAAGAGGTATCTGTGACACAAATATACTAGCAGACATTGCAATTAAGATTATGAGTGCACCTGTAACTTCTGCTGCTATTGAACGATCCTTTAGCACTTTCAGCTGGATCCATAGCAAAAAAAGAAATCGATTGAGTACAGAAAGAGCTGTCAAAATTACTTAGCCTACAATTGGACATTTCTAATGTTCAACCAGTGTTTCAGACAATTCAGATATTGTGAAATAAATGATTTAATTTCAATAAATATTTTCATACCAATTTCTCCAATTTTAATAGATATTGAGAAAATTACCCATTTTGGGTAAATATTTTTGGGTATTTTCCTGCAAAAATAAATACTTGGGTATTTTACATCACTAAATGTAAGGGAGTCCATTTTCTGTTTTTGCATCGGGTTCCTTGGCCTCCTAGCTGCACCACTGGTTTTGATCATGTAAAATGCAGTGAAAATGCAGCCTAAATACAATTTTTCATGATGGTTTACAATACTGTCATCTGACAGAACAAGTTTTTTTTTGTTTTATTTATAGCCTAATTCACAAGACACTTACAACTTACCCTCGTGAAAATTTTTAAATATAGAAACGTCATTATAATGAATCTTGGATCTGAAATTAAAATTGCAAACGCCACCTAATACACTCGAGAGAACCACTTAATTATAAATTATTACAACTTACTTTTTAATTTAGCAATTTGTCTGGCCATAATCATTCAGTTAAGAATAACAATGAAGCAAATTTTTTTTTTTTTTTTTTTTTAATTTGAAAGCACAAGACAACGAACAAAAAACATATCCATTAATTTTAATTAATAAATAATCCTATTTTATAATTTAGACTTTTCCCTTGACGCTAAATTTCGATTCGACGATAACGCTCAATTCCGTCAAAAAGAACTTTTCGCTCTCCGAGATTGGACCCAAGAAGACGAAAAAGAAGTGGCCGCCGCAAAATTCGACTTAAATTACATCGCTCTCGATGGTAATATTGGTTGTATGGTTAACGGCGCGGGTTTGGCCATGGCAACCATGGACATCATTACCCTTCACGGTGGTAGTCCCGCTAACTTTTTGGACGTCGGCGGCGGTGCCACCGCGCAAGCCGTTAAAGAAGCCTTTAAAATTATTACTGCAGATCCAAAGGTAATTTTATAATTTTCTAACAATAAATATCACATTAATGTTGTTTTGAACACATAGAGTATCGTATTTAAAACGTTTTATTTATAATTTATTTACACTATGTACTAATTAATTTATTTATACTTAAGCACTATTTCCGTTTCACTTCTAATTTATTTAACAATTATGATTCAAATGTCTGTCTTCCACTGTGTCTCGCCTTCAACTAACTGCCTTCCTGTGCAACATAGCACGTTTATATAATAATAATAATAATAATAATAACAATAATAAATCTTTATTGGTCCTTTTTGATCACTATACAATGCTGTAGGATATGTCAAGATACATGTAGTGGACAAAACACAATTTAAAATCTACATTTAAATATACATACACATATACACACACAAACACATACATATATATTACATTACCTTTTAATATTTGTTTAAAGCTGTTAATGGATTTTATGTTTTTAATATGTGCTGGCAGTTTATTAAATAATTGAATTCATGCCTAACATATTGCCATTACGAGTGGGATAGTTGTGACATTCATTGTTCCTGAAAAATTTAGCTTCATTTTTTTTTTTACATAGGATTGTCTTATAAATATATATTGAGGGTAGAGTGAGTATGTGATATTTAATAAAATGATCCCTGCATGTTTGTCTTAATTCCAGATTGAAGATAAGTCTAATTGCTATTTTTTGTGCAATAAATACTCTTGTAGCAACAGGAGAATTTCCCCAGAGTGTTATATTATGTTTGGAACAAACATAGTGGTGTAATTAATAAAAGTAATGATTTTTAATTGCATAACTAGCAATTGAAGAAAAGTATCCTACAAACATGTTGGCAATATCTAAAATTAGCAATTTTTTGTTTATTCAGTTTGGAATTAACAGTTTTCCAAACATTTTTTGTTTGCTAAATTTTCTTGAAAAAATTGCTTTTTGCATTTATTAATTATTCGAGCATACCTCTTTTTTCCATTTTGTATCGTTCCAATTTTTTAAAATATTTTCCATTTTAACAATCTAATTATTTACCCATTTTGTATTACATCTGTTTTTAAAGCAATTTTTATTTACCATTGGACAAGTCTGATTTACATGGTAGGAAATTATGTTCAAAAATGTATTATAAATCTCGTCAATATCCAATGGAGCTTCAAAAACAAGAGAAACATCTTCCTGTGACATTTTCAAGGATAGACTACATAAATTTGCATACGAAGTATTTCTAAATGAAACAGTTTTCATGTAATTTTCTTTTTGAGAATGCGTAGAGTGATTTAGCGTTATAGTAAGTCCATAGTGATCACCTAAATAAAAGTCTTGTACTATTTCTTTGTAATCGTAACTGGTTGGTTCTATATTTTGACAATGTAAATTAAAACTCTCCATAGATCCATTAACAGCTTTTTTCAAGAGTTTCATATAAAAAAAATTATATTAAAATCTCCACATACCATTACAGTATCATAAGAATTGTACAGATCAGTTAAAACGTCACACATTTTATGTAAAAATAATTCAGTGGAACTGTCAGGCGATCTATATATACATATATACAGATTATACAACATTAAATATTTAGGCTAAATGTAATTCCACAACATTCAAACAGACACTCTTCAGAGCTTTTAATAAATATAAGGAATTTTTGACAAAAATAACAGTTCCCCCATGTATTTTAGTTTTGCGGTAATATCCGTCAGCTATAATAAAATCTTTAAAAACTATATTCTCTGTCGATTCTTCATTACGCCATGTTTCTGATACACAAAGTATTTTTGGTCTTTTAAATTCTAAAATTAATTCTAAACGATTTGTTTTGTTGTTCATAGATTGAGCATTAACATAAATAATTTTAAATGTATTTGTTTTAAGTCCTATCTTTTCACCTCTGAGTAAAGTTACGTGTAGGTTTACTTGACAGATTAACGAACAATAGCCCTATAATTTAATCAGCAAGTAGTTACTTTCAACTATAATTAGAGGTGAAAAAAGTGCCCTTAGAGACATTAATTATGTTATTCGTTCGGGATTCAGAGATTGCCGAAAATTCTCATTATTTAATTCCTCAATTTGAGTACTATCTTTATTTGAATTAACAGAATCATTACAGTTAAGATAAGAAGTTTCAAGAAAATTTTCATCACAATCTTTTACGATTTGATGAAGACTTTCCGTTTCCATATCATCAGAGAGGATACTAATATTACTTAGAATAATATTTTTGTTTTTTATAATATTGTTTCCACCAGCGGCGGCCTGGTCCCAAATTTTAATAAAAACTAAATTATTTGGGCTCTTTTCTAAACATATGACAATTTAAAATTATTTATTTTATACCCTTTCTCATTACTAACATTTAAAAAAGGAAAATAATTTTGTTAGTACCAATCAACATAATTTAAGAAATATTCTAGTTTAGAATTAAATTTAATAGTCTTAAGAAGAGGTATCGATAAGAATATAATATTTGTATGAGTACATTGTTTTAATTTATAATTAGTACTCCTAATGCTAGGATACCTATTTTGGAGAATGTTTTTTCCTCCCATAATAATTACATAATCATTCGAGGTAAATGTTCTTGTGAGATTTGCAATGTCTTCTATTACTTTATCAAGTTGTGCCCCTGGTTTTAGAATAATCTCGACTGATGTATTATCTTGTCCAAATTGTTTTCTCAGTTCCCTGTCCAAACTCTTGTAGTTTCATCTGATAAAATTAGAACCCTCTTTTCGTTCTTTCAATTTTTTGGTATATCATTGTGCTTGCTTTGGAGAGTTTTATCTTTAAAGTTAATGTGAAAGTTTCTCAATTTATTTAAGTGCATCTTATTGTCTTTGGTTAAGTTTTCAATATCTTTAGTGAATTCATTGTTTTTATCTTTTAGTTCAGTCATACATCTTTGGTTGTCCTCCATTGCTAAATTTAAAACTTTTAATTCATCTAGTCTTATATTTAGATCTACTAGGTTATTTTCATTTTCAAAGTTGAGTACATTAATCTTCTTTTCAAAATTAACATTTTCAACTTCCAACAGCTTTATCGTAGTCACCATGCTTCTATTTATATTATCTAACTCTTTGACGTCTGACTGCAATTTAATTAAGGCCTCATCTTTTTCTGATATTTAAGTTTCATACTCCTTTAATGTTGACTGTGCGTTTGGAAGTTTAGAATTTAGCAAGGCAATTTCCATAAACTGGTTTTCAATTTTAGTTTCGAAAGTAGATTTTGCTTCACGGACTAAGTTTTCAAAATTTTGACTACCTTTTTTAAATCTTTTAATATATTCATCTCGTTCTTTCAGAGTATCCTTTAGTTTGATATTTTCGGCTTCATAGTGAGTAATTCTTATTTCTTCATTTTTCTCTTTTTCACATCTGGACGAAAAATACACCCTATAACTGTCAATTTTAATTGCATCCTTAAAGTCTCTTTCCAAGCAGCTTGTCTTCAGTATCCTCTACATACGAAACACCCTTAAGGTTGGCGTTGCCCCATAGAAATCTGCCGTATATGCGAGGTTGGCGTTAAACGAAGTTTTTAGAAAAAATATACTTCCTGGCATTAATTTTAATATTGAAAACCGTTCATTAAGTGTGCCTAGGGGTTGTAGTCTTCTTATGAAACAGAGATGTTCTAAAGTACTCTAACAAGTATTAGAAATTAAAAAAACCGACTTGAAAAACGTGCAGATGCCATCACCACATCTTAATCAAATTTATATGCGACCACCCCTGAGGTACCCCCTTACTAACAAAAAAAGAATCATATAAATCGGACAAGGTGGTAAAGCATTATCGCTAAACACATGAAGAATGAAGAGTTGAGGATTTTCTCATCGACCCAATTATTAGATTTTGACCAAATTTATATGGGACCACCCCTGAAGTACCCCTTTTCTAACAAAAAAACAATCATTGAAATGAGATACTGTGTTAAAGAATTATCGCTAAACATACATAAAAAATGAAGAGTTTAAGGATTTTCTCATGGACCCAATTATTAGATTTTGACCAAATGGGACCACCCCTGAAGTACCCCCTTTCTAACAAAAAAAAAAAGAATCATTGAAATCGGACACCGTGTTAAAGAATTATGTCTGAACATACATACATACATACATAAAAAAAAAAAAATATCGCGTCGGTTAAAAATGATTTTGACTTAAACCGCCTATAATCGCATTAACTTACCTAGGAATTTTCTTCATAACTAAACATATTTATATGTTGTCTTTCCGTTACAACCCGTACAACCAACACAGAAAAATAATGAATTACATTACACTTCAAAATATTGTTTAGTTTTTTTGAAAGCTTGGTTTAAAATTACATAGATTTTTTTTATGACAACACAATTATGTGGTATATTATGTGGTATATCACGTGACATAGCGGAAATTTACAAAGTTAAAATTATTTTTAAGAATTTTCTTTTTACGTTTTGTGTAAAAAAATTGGGAAATTGTCCAGATAAACAGTTTTCGAGATATGACCAGACGCCGCCCTTAAGCGTAATGTACAGACCAAGATGGTCATCTAAATGTAAATCAACAACTTTCTCCTCATAGTACTTAGTAAAATTAGTGAGAAAGTAGTCTATCTTTGACCTAGTCACATGACCGTTTTTGTTTATACAAATTGAGTGTTTTAACAATTTAATTTAAAACTTTTCGTCGAATTCATGAATAGCTACCCAAATCGAGCAATCTCTTATAAGGTCTTTTTATAATGAATTTTTTTTTTCAGGTTCACGCTATCCTCGTGAATATCTTTGGAGGTATCATGAGATGCGACGTCATCGCTGAGGGTATCATAGCCGCCGCCAAAGAACTTAGTTTAAAGATGCCGATCATCTGCAGATTACAAGGAACGAACGTAGATGACGCAAAAGTATTGATCGCATCATCCGGACTGAAAATTTTACCAGTAGACAATTTGGACGAGGCTGCGAGACTGGCTGTAAAATTATCGAATATTGTCAGTTTGGCGAGAGATGCAAAATTAGATATTAATTTCGAAATGCCCTTGTAAATGATGCAAATGCAATTTTTTTATTAGAAATGTAAACTCGCACGAATCGACGATGTTCACCGCTATTTCAGGTATTCCACTAGCTTTCAATGTAAAATACATATATACAATTTTGAGCAGATTACCAATTATTTATTGTTACATTGTAAAAATAATAAGAGTATAATTATAAATGTTTTCAATTTTTAAAGAAATCAATTCTAATAGAAAACTGCCAAGATTGGAAGTAAAAATATCTTTGGGTGTTTTAAGTTGTCATATAATCTTTATTATTAGAATTTGTACCTGGTAATTTTACCTGGGTTTTGAAAAAAATATAATTTATTTTTGTCAGCTATTAAAAAACAAATTATGTGTCTTTAAAGGTTACAGGAAAGCAAGTTATTTTTTTACAGGAGCTTTTTATGTTCAATAGCTTTATCAATTTCAACTAATAATAAACAGTAATGTGTGATAGTCAATACTAAGAATATTTGTTGAAATAATGAAATACCAGTTTGTTATAATTATTATTATTATATGTATATAGTAATTTTAAACTAGTTAAATTGTATAATTAGTGTAATAATTTCAGAAAAACTGGTTATTATTAAATTATTATGACCATGTTTAAAAACCTATTGATTTGGCAGTATCATATTAGCTAACAGATTTTGTGAAATGACATTAAGAAACTACCCTACTACTACCTATTGCAAATGTCAAAATCGTTAAAATCTGCAAGAACAACAGATTTTATTTATTATATTATATATACACTCAGAATTGCATGGTAATTTTTAAGAGTCTATCTATTTGTATTATCAAAACCATTCTTATTTATTGATTTATTTCATGAAATAAATTATTTAAAAAAATATATTTTTACTCACTTTTAATCTCCCATTTCCTTCCATTACTAAAAGAAAAAGATTTATAGTATAGGGGTTTATAAAAAAAATAATTTTGTATGTGAATGTATTTACATAGTTATATTACAAATTATGGCACAATAAATACTTAATTTATAAAACATTGAATGAAAAAGTCGCAATTTTGTTGAAAATTATTTTTAAAATCATTACGAGAGCAAACTAAGTTAATAACTAAATAATATACAGGGTGAATCCTAAGTTGACACTTTTTGCCCTGTGTATAGGAAGTCATTAAAATAACCTTTTCAAAAATAAACAATTTATTCAAATACAGTCTTGTATAACTTTTGTTTTACATTCATGCGTTGAACTTGAAAAAGATGCAACTGATTTTCTCACAGTTGTCTATACTTTCCTTCAACTTGATCTGCAATCAACCACACACTTGTTATTGAGAATCTTCCGCCATAACATTAAAAATGTGTTTTTCTAAATTCATTTTCCTGAACAATATCCACAATGAATCTTGATTCATAAAAATAAATGTATTAATTCTTGTAACTTTTCGCACACAAGCCCAGATCGGATTTAAATTTTTTAATTATGTGCCTTTATTTTTGAGTTTTTTGAAAAAAATGTTCATTTTAAGAACTTGTATACACAGTTAAAAGAAAGTATTGATATAGGTTTCACCCTGTATAGACATCCACGAAATTTGTATTAAATATCTTTCGAGTAAAACCAAAAAAATATATTGAATACGGCCCATCTAATCAAAAAGTGTTTACGATATGAATTTAAAATTTCTGCACTCATTTTATTCAAAACATTTTTTTATAGTCCAATCAAATTAAACTCTGAGAAAAAAATTGTTACTAGGCTTTAATAAGTGTAAACTTTAAATGGTAAAGGGGCTTATAATTAAAAAAACAAAAAATGCAACCTGGGGAGGGGGTTGAGAAGGGGTGAAAAATGGTATCACAATTTCCTGCGAAAGTTGATTTCAAAATCAATTTATAATACAAAAGTTGCAGATCAAGCAAAAATCTACAGCTTTTATAGTAGACACTTTTCAACATAACCTCAAAATTTTTGATAATGTAAGAGATCGTTAGAATTTATTTAAAAGCTTATTTTCAGATAATTCTGACCTTTCGATTTGCGATCTGTTAAATTCACAATTTTAACTTTTTTATTTTTCATTTCTCCAAAAATAGTTGAATTTTTATTTTTTAAATAAAAACCAAAAGATTAATTTTTTCGGTCCAAACCACTTTTTACTTTCCTGTATACCTGATGACCAGAACATTACTGGCCAGTAAGGACTGGTGTGAAGTATATAATAACGGAGATATAAATTCAAAATTTAATGCTTTCTTTACAACATATCAATATCATTACCTTTAATGCGTTCCCAATAAAAAAAAATCAAAATCAGAGAAAATAAAAAGAAGAAGCTATGGTTGACAAAGGAGATCAAGGATATGAATAAACTGCTATGTGAAATTCACAAATTGTCAAGGGATACAAACAATCAGGTAATAAAAGATAGGTATAAAAAACTTAAGGGTATATATGGATTTATCGTAAAGAAAGCTAAAGTAGAGTATAATAATAAAAAGAATATTAAATGCAGACAATATCGGGAAGGAGTCTTGGAAAATAATAAATGAGAGTAGAAATAAAACAAATTCTAGATCACCTTTTGAAATAAACAAACAACAATACTTTAACAGATAAACAAGTAGTGGCCGATTACTTTAATGATTTTTTTATAGATATAAAAAAAGTCACGCCAAATAGGGACCTGAAGCTAGCATCTATTGAAAATATTTCTGTATCCTATAACTCAAACAGAAATACAAACCATTATTAACAGAGTAACAAAGAAATATACTCCAGGTATTGATGAATTTGATTGAAGAACGTTAAAAGCAGCAAGTGACATAATTTGTGCACCACTGTCATATATAATTGATCATTCCTTTATCACAGGGAAATATCCTGAAAAGCTAAAGACGTCTAAGTCGGTGCCTATTTTCAAAAATAAAGGGTCAAAGCAGGAGATAATTATAGAAATTTTAGAAAGTTAATTACCAGTTGCCAATACGGCTTTAGACAGAAAAAATCAACATCGACAGCAATAGATGAACTTTGTAACTCCATAATTGACAATCTGAATGGGAAGCAGTGCCCAGTTGCCATATTTTATTACCTAACTAGGGCATTTGATACAGTGACCTACTCATTGATAAGCTCTTTAGAATGGGAACCAGAAGAGTGGCTAGCGACTGGATTTCTAGTTATTTAAGCAATAGACGTCAAATGGTCAGTATAGATTCGATAAAATCACAGTCCAAAGATATTAACATGGGAGTACCACAGGGCTCGACACTAGCCCCGCTATTATTTATTATTTTTGTCAGTGACCTCACACAATCATGTAAAAAAGCCAAAAAACAGTAATATTTGCAGACGATATGAGTCACATAGTGGCTGAGTATAAACTTGCTTTATCGGCTGAGTATGCAAACGCCACTGTAGAAGAATTTTCGGACTGTTGCTCAGATAATGGGCTGCTAATTAACATAACAAAAACAGTATTTATGATCTTTCAACAAAAAAAACATCAGTTATGACTTCTGTCCATTAATTAGGCTTGATCATAGAACGATAGATCTGGTGGCAAACTTTAAATATCTAGGGGTGACCCTAGACCAGAAGCTTACATGGGAAGGACATATTGACAAGGTGGTCTCAAGGATGAGCAGTTTTTGTTTCATCTTTAGACAATTTCACAATACAACTTCTCTGAATGTATTAAAGTTACCCTATTTTGGACTGGTACAGTCATTATTAACCTAAGGACTAACTTTTTGGGGAAACGCTTCACATACTGTAAAAGTATTTATAACTCAGAAGATGGGGTGGGTGGCTCAGTGGTAGAGTCTCTGCCTGTGGATCCAAGGGGCCCAGGTTCGAATCCCACCGTTGGCCGGAATTTTTTCATTTAATTTAATTATTTAAAATTAATTCTGATGCCTTGGTAGGATTCCTCACTCGACCATTCACTGTTGGGTTCTAATTAACAGTGCTGTTCCTAAAGTGGCGCTGGGAAACAGTAACAAAGCCTACACAGAACACGAGGCGAAATAACCTTGGCAGTTGAAGCCGATGACAAAAAAAAAACTCAAAAGAAAATAGTGAGATGTATAACTGGTTCCCACTATAGGGCATCTTGCAAGAATTTGTTTAAATCTTTGGAAATATTAACATTGCCATGTCTCTATATATATTTGACCAAATTAAACATTAAGAAAAATGAATCTCAATATATTCGAAATAACATGATTCACAACACACGGAGAGGAAGTGACTTAAGACTGCCATATTTCCGGCTGACCATTGGGCAGGGTTCTGCGAGTTATCAGGGCATCATCTATTTTAATCATATAACTAGACTTTTGGGCAATAGTAGTTATGTTTTTAAAACCAAACTTTTTAAATATTTAGCTGAAAATGCGTTTTATTCTGTAGAATTGCTGCAGATTTCTTAATCATTTTAATTTAATTTTAGATTTATATATAAATATTTTTTATTCTTATTATGGTAATTTTAGATATATGTTGTAAATAGAAGTGCTATATACTGTATCATACATGTACATTTTGTTGTGTATTCGAACATATGTATTTGTACATTTGATAGATGAATAAAGGATTTATTTATTTATAATGAAAGTATAGGAATCATTATTGTTTATCGACCTCGAGTTTTCGACGGATTTTTTCGTTTTGAGGTTCCCTAAATCCGTTTTGACTATTTTTGCGATGATGTGTCTGTATCCTTGATAACATACAAAGACAAACCCCAAATTTTAAACTTAAGCTTTATTTCGCCCTGCGGTGGACTGATTAGATTTTGGACAGAGTCGTAATATCTGGGGGACAATTTATTAGGGTGTCATTTTTATATTTTATGGAATATATCTGTTATTTACGTTTGGAGAAGAAAATTCTTTAAATAAAAGTTACTTCTCTATAATTTTTGTCCTATACAAAATTTTCCTAACATGGTCCATATTCGAGAAATTTGACAAAATGTGCAAAATTCTGTTTAAGAATATTGTTAAACTAAAAGTTGTTTGCGATATCGATCTCTATAATTTTTGTTTTTTACATGATTTCTCTAAAAGAGACCGTAATGGAAAAATTGGAGGAAAAGTGTAAATTTAAATTTATCAGTTTTTTGTTGGCAATGAATATATATCAAAAAAATGTTTCCAGTTAAAAAAATGTGGAAAATGTATATATTTAGTTTATCCTCTTAACATTTACAGAGGTGCCGGAAAAACCGTGAAAAAGCCTGTAATAACTAGATAAGAAAGTCATGTGTTGGCCACATTTTTTTTTTAAAAACTGTGAAAAATGTTTGAACAAAGTTCTTCAGGTACTCATTTTTTTCGTTGTGACATTTAGTTTTTGATAAGATAAAAAAAATAGTCATGATTAAAAAAATGCTCAAAAATGAAAAGACAAAAAATGACAATAGCAACAATGAATCATTCCTTAATTATTATAATTTGTCTTGATTAAAAAAAAAATTATATTAAGTTAATTATAGGGAAAAAATATAAGACACTGTATTTTATTTTTTGACCAGAATCTTTATTTTTGTATCTAGTAATGATATAAACATTTAAGAGGATTGAGTCACTGACAACTTCGTGATCCTTAACAATTCATTTTCTATTTTATCAATACATACGTTATTAGCAATTGCAGATAAGATAGCAAAGAATAGCTTGAAGAAGACATTTACTTGAATCAGCAAGAAACATCCCAAAGATTTCAATAATTCAAAGTATTGTGATGTTTGTTTATTTTAAACAACAGTTTATTTATTAATAATTTATTTAAACACTTATTTATTTTATAACACTACTATTCTGTCCATATAATAACTGATACCGCTTGGTCCTCCACCAATATTTATATACAAATTTAAAAGTTTGGCGAATGAGCTAGAAAGTTCACCCATTTTCAACAAAACACTAGAAACATTATCCCGTTCTTTCTCGAATAATCCACCATAGTCTTCACATATGTTTGGTCTTAAGAGGTTTAATTATGTATGATAATCGGACAAGTTGAGCCTCAAAGGCCAAATAATACAGAGAGGGACTTGGAGGATTAGAGCATGACTGAATAATGAAATGGCTCACATTACAGTATTAACAGCAAAGTCTACTTTTAAATTGGAAAAGTTACCACCAACTGTTGGAGCAACTTCGCAACACTCCTATAGAGGATATTTTCAGCTTCAAACGTGGTTTGGAAACAAAAGAACTGCAACCAACTGGGGTTGGAAAGAAAGTATTGCAAATAATTCAAAAATACGTATACCTCGCTTTACAATAGCCTTGGTCATCCCTGAAGAATTGTTAAAAACAATCTCGTGCAGATGCGAAACCAGTTTTAAAGGTAACAGATGTGGGTGTCAAAAACATCGCAGGATGTACCGAGTTATGTACAAAGTGTCTGAAAATTGTAGTGACTCTGAAGATATTTCAACTGAAATTAAGCAGCCAAGTCTTTTGCTTCAACCTGGAAAACCAATTACCAGAGGACTTTAATAACAGAGAGGAAATAATTAGAAAAGATGAGCAAGAAACCGATTTTAATCAAGGGTCGGACGATGAAGATCAAATGACTGGCGGCAAAAAGAGCAAGAATGAACTAGTAAATTAATTTTTTTCATCCATTTTGATATAAAAAATCTGAATTTTTAAATACATCCATGAATTCATTAAAATTTAAAAATATTTCATTAGGCAATCGATTCTACTTTAACTGGAACTAATTCGTCAAAACCTCAGGATAAAATATTTGGATAAAACTTAAAAACAGGTCGATTTACATTTCTTGTGGGATTTCAAGTAATATTAAAAAAAATTCATCCCTTTTAAGGGGTGAAACCTAACCCCACTTGATTTTTTTTAAATGGGATGATACTACTTGTTGGAAAGCTGTTTTAAAAAGAAAATTGACTGCATTTTTTCTCATTTCAATTTTATAGCGAATAATAATATATAAATATAAATGTAAAGCTGACCGACCTTACACAAAAATCAAAATTGGAACTTTAGGTAGGTTAAACACGTTGTTTGAGTTTTAAGATTAATAGCCACAAATAAATTTTTAGACGCATTTTATGGTCTATGTATATATATTTTTAATTACTATAAATTTTTGAAGTAAAACTTTTTAGGCCGCGGTTCGATATTTGATAAGCAGACAGTGGTCCGATATTTGGCGAGAATGGAGAGTGAAATTTCAAAAACATGTAACGTTACACCGTCACGCATGTAACCATGGTAACTTCACGAAATTAAAAGAACATTGACCTTAAGAGTTTATATACGATTTTTTCTATTTCAAAGATACAAGTCTGAGATGAAAGCAGAGCAAAGAAAATATATAAAAGGTCTGTGGGAGCAAAGTGGAGTGGAGAATGGTGGAGAGGAAAGCAAATTGAGTATAGTGAAGTGGGGATAGAGTGAATTGGGGAAAGGTGGGGCAGAGTGACGGAATAAAATGGGTTAGAGTGAAGGTTCAGTGGGGTAGAGTGAGGTAGAATGGGGCGGAGTGGGAGAGTTGGGTAGAGTGGAGAGGAGGCAAAATGGCCGCGTGCAATACCAGCTCTGAGCAATCTATATAATTATTTGATTGTCAATTACATCGCTGAGAGTCAACTGTCGTTGGAATGCCTAATCAATTATTATCTCTCTTATTCTCTAGTGTTTAAGAAGTGTTATTTCTCTCCCGTGTGTAATGCTGCAAGCGATTTTTTTTAATTAAAAATTCACTATCAAATTAAAATGAAAAAGGAACTTTCCAAGAAGATGCCACTAGTAGTATTATCCCATTTAAAAGAAATTAAGTAGGGTTAGGTTTCATCCCTTAAAAGGGAAATTTTTTTAATATGACTGGAAAGCCCACAAAAAACCTTAATCGACCTGTTTTGCGTTTTATCCAAATATTTTATCCTGCGGCTCTATATAGCGAAATAGTTCCATAAAGTGCCTACCCTGTATACAAAAAAAGGAATTCTGGTCAAAAAATATATTTTTTCATACAATGATGCAATCAGTTTTTAATTTTTTTTTTTATTGAAACAAATTATCAATAATTAAGGAATAATTCATTGTTCATATATTTTTTGTTTTTATGCAATTTTAAGCAATTTTTTTAATTTTGTCAAAAATTACAAGTCAAAACGAAAAAATTAGTACCTAAAGAACTTTGTACGATAATTTTTCATAGTAGCATTTCTTTTTAAAAAAGTTTTGGACCGAAAAATTAATATCTCGAAATCCTTTGGGTTTTTTATTTAAAAAAATACGCTTATTTAAGGCATACAAAGGTATCATTTCACCAAATTTAATCAGAATTAAATTATTTTTGGAGAAATGAAAAATAAAACGAAAAAAAAAAACATTTTGATAGAAAAAAGTGATCTCTACAAAAGCCGTAAATTTTTGATTGATCTACAACTTTTGCATTATAAATTATTTTTATTTCTGACGTCAACTTTCGGCGCAAATCGCGAGATTACCATTTTTTTACCCCTTCTCAACCCCCTAAAACTTTACTTCAAGTTAATTCAACTGATCTATTATATCTTTACTACCAACGAAAATAGTTAAGACCACGTGTATATTGCAAGTTAAGAATGTTTTCTATTTGACACAAAAAATTATGGGCGAAAAAATATCGACAAGATGGAAGATGGGTGCCGTAAGATGGGTGCTGCCTTTTGCTCTCAATGGGGAATAAATGCAATCAAAAGATCAACTCTAAGGCTGATTTGGCGCATTCTCTCGCAATCCTGACGAGTTTCTACGTTGATGCATAACTGTGGATGCAGAAACAAAGGAACAGTCACAATAGTGGGTTTTTAAAAGCAAATGGGCTCTAAAAAAACCGAAGATGGTGAAATCGATTGGCAACGGTTTTTTTTGAGTTGCACATGGAACCATCTACACTAATAACTTGTATGAGTCGTTATTGCACCAATTTATCGAAGAAATCAGGGAAAAGATCCTCTTCCATTAAGATAATGCACACCTGAGCAGTTTATATGGCCAAAATCACAGAATTATTACACCGTATTCACCGAATTTGGCCCCCAATGACTTTTTTATTTTCAAACTGTATAAAATGGCTCGGCGGACAACGGTTCACATCGTACTAGGATGTCATCGTCCAAACAGATGTCTATTTTGAGGAAATTCCGAAATCTTACTTTTAAGATGGCTTAGAAAGTTAGAGAAATGCTTTGAAACGTGTATAGACCTAAAAGATTATGTTGAAAAATAAATAATTGTTTTTACACTTTTACATCGTGTAGAGATAAAAATTAGCTTTGTTTGATATAATAATTTATTAAAATATGCTATGAACTTATAAATTGGCAAGAGTTTGCGGCATTTTAATTTTTTTTAAGTTCTTTACATATCTCTATGAAATGAATTTTTAACAAAAATTCTTACGACCATATTTAGATATTTTCTATCAATAATTATCTATAAAAATTGTATTTTGATTAAAAGAGTGCAGTAATCTCACGGTCAGACCTTAGACTAGTAGGATTAGAAAAACGTCACTTATTACTCAATTGTATAAACATTAAGTACATTTATAAATAATTTATAGATTCAAATAATATTCAAACAATCCAACATTATAATAAACATTTAAATGTTTTAGTAAAATAAATGTGAGGTAGGAAAAACAACTGAAATAATAACATTATGTAACAAATCATTATAGACATTTTACCTTATCAATTGTGTATCTGCCTATTTAAAATTAAAAATAAAATTATGAAAATTAACAAAGGTTTTGTTCAAACGCATGGAATACCTACAAATAGGTGATTTTAAATAATAATTGTCAATATTCACCAATAGTGATATAAATTATAAGAATAAATAACATTTATAAAATATTAACCAACACTTCATCATAATTCATCCTCAAAGTGATGAATATTATGTAAATGATCACCATAATCTGTTACTTCACTGCCTACGAATGTATCATGATGCTCAATTATTTCTTCAAAACTTAGTGTGTCATCATGATTGTCATCACTGTGTACAAATAAATGGTCGACTTCTTCTTGTGCTATTTCACTGAAAAATAAATCTGTATAATACTGTTTTAACAAAAAAAAGTACTTTAATACTTACTCATTGCTTGGCACAACCCAGGATAAAATTTCATTTCCCTCCAATTTCCCATCATGGTTTTTATCAAAAGTGTCATCAAATTTTGATTTTTCACTAATCAATTCGTCCTTTCCAAGATCACCTCCTCTGTTTCCAATGTATTCCTGAAAGCTAATAGCCCCATCTCCATCTTTGTCCTTATCTTTTAACGTCTGTTCTAAAATAATAGGAAGCATTATTGGATGTTCTTCAGGGTGTGAAAATGAAATCCATTCTTGACTGTCCAAAACTCCATCACCATTAGTATCTGCAGCTTTCCACATTGTCTTGTCTTCTTCAATAAGCTGAAATGATTTTTAAATATTTATTCTTGAAACAATAATAAATGATTTTTATTGACTGCTAATTAAAAAGAAAACAAAGATCAATAATTATTCATGTACAATAATAGTTAAAGTTAAAAGGCAAAGTTCAGATTTCCAGGGAAGATTTTCTCAAATCTGCTCTTCCAGTCAACCTAGGAAAATAAAAAAAAATTCAATAAAAGAAAAATGCTAACATAATCAGTGTGGAGAATAAGATAGACCTGCTTGTTAGTCATTAATCAATTATTAATTATCCCACAAAAAAGTTAAAATTTAAGTTGAATACTTCCATTCAATAAGTATTCTTTTACTTTTCTTTTATAAATAGAAATAGGTAGCATTTTAAATATGGTTGAGATGAGATTATAGATTTTAGGAATATTCTAAGAAAAACTGGGTCAGAACAGTGTAGTGTTATGTTTTGGAATTGTTATGTTATCCTTAAATTTAACATTTATGTTGTGAACTTCAGATTTTTTTGTAATTTTTATAAGGAATTTAAATAATTAATAAGGAAAACTTGTTGTTAGGTCTTGTAAAAAATATTAGAAAGGAGTCAAAATAAAATTTATATCTGAATTTAACTGTTATAAACATAATTTTTATGTAATTCCCTGGAATTTGGATTCCTGTTTGTTTAAAAATAGACCTGGGACAGTTCTTGAGATATTTTTTTTGGGAATCAATTATATAAAGAAATAATTTCTATGATTTCAAGAATTAGGGATCAGTAAGAAAAACTGGACAAGAAAAATATTACTCATGAGAAGGAAAAATAATTGAAATTCAATTAGAAAAGATGATAAAGATCTTTCTACAAGAAATAAGGGATGACAAGTCTTATATGTTGTAACTTACATGCTCATTTTCACCTCCAAGATCTATATTATTTTCATAACTATCTAATCCATATGTATCACTCAAATACTCTTCCCAAGTAACTTTGCCATCATGATTTTCATCTGCATCTTCTAATCTATCTCTGGCCTCTTCTTCTGACAGCATTCTAAAAAAACACTTCTTTACTTAAATTTAACAGTAAATTGTATATTAAAGTGTTATTTTGCATATGCAAGCTTGAATTGCATAATTTTAGGGAGAAGAGTTTAGTCTGATTAAAATATTGTTTAAATAGAATTCCCATAAGTCAAGTCAACTTGGTTTTTAATTAACAATGATACTAATGTTCATAAATTAAGCTTTCCTGCTGTCAGAGGAGTCTAGGAAAAAACGTCCATAATAGAAACATTGAAAATATTTGAAATTTGATTACTTAAAAGATCTAATTATCCAGGCCTTCAGCTCATTCCTATCAATATGACTGTCATTATTATAGTCCATTTTTGTTATCAAAATAGCTAGTCTTCTTTTGGCTTCTTCTGGAGGTAAATGATCATATTCTTCTGCATCCTTGTGACTTCCTAATATTGCTTCGTGATCAAACTCGCTGTGATGTTCGTCACCATCTTCTGAATAATGAGCATGGTCCCTTGGACTGTATGCTCCGTCAGATTCTCGTTCTTTGTGGATATCGTTAGAATGACTATGCATTACGCCGGCATTAATTTTATTTGCAAGTATTAAAAAGAAAAAGAACAATACGGGACACATCGTGTACATGACTTGAATGTTCCAGTTTAAAGTATTTGAACTTATATGTTAAATACTGTTCTGCCAAGCATATCAAAGTAAAAAAATGTTCGAAGAGAGAAATATAACAACAAATGGTCAATATGTCAGACTAAATAATATGTCAAAGTCAAAATAGTTCTTCTTCTTCAGTCTATGGTCACTTGCCATGAAGCATTCAGGTAGCATGGTTTAATTTTGTTGAATTTCTGACATTTTCTGAATTTTGGTACTTTCTGTAACGCACTCACTGGGTCTAGTCTGTCATTTTAGGATAAAAATTAGTTTTTTTACCTGTTTAGTGAGCCCTAGGGCCAAAGTAATTCTTCGGATTTTTTTTACTGGTCTAATCTCAGCCTGTTTAACAAATACCATCTGCCACAGTTGAAATTGTCTCATATGTACTAGTATTCAGATCAGATCAGCTGTTTTCTTTTTGTTTTTGTCAACAATAAAAAATAAAAAGTATGTTTTAAAAATATACTTTCACTCACTTTGTCGTTTGCTGATAACAAAAGTTGTTAACCTTTGAAATATATATGGTAGTGGTACGTACGTTCTCTTTTGGATTAAGCTAAGAATAAGGAACTAGTTATGATTGTATCTAAACATAAATTGGTATGTATACTTTACACTTGTTGGAGAAAATTAGTTTTGAAAATTTGAAAACAATTTATTCATTTTAGATTTTAGACCAAAACATTGTTCGAAGAATTTCGAATATAATAAAAAATACACCAGCAATGTCTACATTTGCAGGAAAAAAACTTTTTCAAAATTCCTTAAAATTACCTTCTCTTCCTGTTCCAAGTCTAAATCAAACAATTGAAAAATATGTTAAAACAGTGACCCCTTTTTTAACTGAATCAGAATTGTTGAATACAAAAAAATTGTTAAAAGAATTTAGTGATGAAGGAGGAACTGGAAAAAAGCTACAAAAGCTGCTTGTAGAAAGGGCACACCAACATGAAAATTGGCTGGATGAATGGTGGTTACATACAGCCTATTTGGAATATCGTGATCCTGTAGTTGTTTTTTCGAGTCCTGGATTAGTTTTTCCTTTTGAAGAATTTAGTAATGAATCAGACAGACTGAAATACACTGCTAGGCTAATTTTAGCAGCTGTGCAATATTATTTAAACATATGGAGGTAAACACGCGAAAGTTTCCTTTATGATCATATTTATATTTGATAATATACATGTTTTTGATTTTAGTGAAAAACTTCCTTTAGATAAAATGGGCAAAGATCCATTAGACATGAATCAGTATAAAAAAATTTTTGGGACCTGCCGCATTCCTCAACTGAAAAGAGATGCATTAGAATTTAACCCAGAATCAAAGCATATTATCATTGCCAGAAATAATAATGTAGGTAATTGTTCAAAAAATGCAATCATTACTAATTTGGGTAATTTAGTAGTTTATGGTCCTTTTAATGAGCATATCTGCAAGTCTCTGCAATGAGATCTAGAATTTGAATTTTATACCTGCTACCTTATCAAATTTCCTCTTTTGTTTTAGGGCACTGTTAATGAAAAATAGCAATTTTATTAATTTATTGTTGTATTGTGTGTTCTTTTTATTCTTATAATTAGTTGGATGTTTTCTTTTCCTAAGTATATTTGCCTATTGACTTTTTCGTTTTTATAAGTATTGTTGTGTTTTGTCCTTTCTCATTAGTAAAAATTTAAAGTGAAAAATGGGTGATATAGATCAGAAAACAGTGCTAATTTTTATTGTGAATCATAATAAAAAAAATTATTTGGTTCAAGACAAAATTGTGATAATCACAGATTTCTGGGCTGCATTAAATAGGCAGTTAGGAAAAAAATACTTGTTATATAACGACGTGTTTTACTGTAGGAAACAGTTGTTCTCTAGCTATGCTGTGCTCAATAGGTTGAAACAAGTCGCAAAAATTTGAATTTAGATTCTACTTTTAATAATAAAAAAATACGTATGGCACTCGGGGACTGCCGCGGTAAAGCTATTGCATAGCATTTTTTATCAACTTATGCAATTATAATTATTTATTTATTTTATTTATGCAGTATTTTTTTTCTTTGATATTAATTCAAGTTTTTTCTTTGATATTAATTCAAGTTACACTTTTTGAGAGTGGTGACCGATAAGAAAACAATTTTTTTATTTTATTGATTAAATGAGAAGTTAATATTGTTTAAAATATTTTTATTATCTTACAATACATGTAGGTTATTCAGGATTTTTTATCATTGAAACTATATGTTTATGGTAACTGAAATAAGAAACATAAGTTTGAGACTGATATCCTCAAAATATCTGGAAAATACCGTGTCAATGGTGGTCCCATATTTTGTTGTGGATTCTTGTGGATCATTATTCATTTTCAAATACAATTTTTCCGAAATTGTGCTGAAGTCTGCCGAACTGAAACGACGTTAGACGATGCACGGCTTTCAACGCCGCACCGCTGTGCCGGTCGGAGTGGGGGGTGTTAGGTTTATTTTCGTTACGGTAGTTTACGGAATTTCTTGATTCGGTCGCCGCGCTCAAAGCCCGCGATAAAAGCTATGCAATAGCTTAAAAATTGGTATTTTTTTAATTTTAAGAAAATCTAGTTAATGATCACAAAAGGGAAGAAGTACTATTTTTTTAATAAGTATAGGTACACCTAATATCTCAAAAGCCAAATAAACTAAAAAAATTACCCTAATTTATTCATTTTTATCTATATATTTCTTTTAAATGTAAACTTTTTAGTTCTTCAGATTAGATATTTTGAATAAAAATGGAGAACTACCTAGTGAAAATGAATTAATTGATGAACTGAGTATTATAATTACAAAATCAGAAGATCCTGGTCCATCAATAGGAGTTCTAACTTCTGAAAATAGGGACACTTGGAGTCAAGCCTATGCAGAATTAATCAAAGGTAAGTGTTTTAAAGATATCTATAAAATCCAAAAATTTTACTCTTGAAGAAAGATAATTAAATACCTAGTTATGTAGAATAGTTAAAAAAATTTATTTATATATAATTTTTTTTTTCATGAAATTTAAACTCTATCTCTATGTATAAAACAAAATTTAGTAGGTATTCTACAAATTTTCTTTATTTTGAAACAAATTTTTTGATGTTATGCAAGTTTGCTTTTTAATTACTGACATAATGATGTGTCCAACACATGACTTTCCTATCTAGTTATTATAGGCTTTTTCCGGTTATTTTGTATAACATATTGCAGCACCTCTATAAATGTTTAGAGGATAAACTAAATATGTATATACATTTTCCACATACATCTACCTCGAAATATTTTTCTATAGATATTCGAAAATACTGAAAAATTTAAATTATGTACATATATTCTGTTAACCATTGGTATTACTAGTACAGTCATAATTTAAAAGTAATGAATATTTTTAAAACAAAACTTTTTAACATCATTTGGTAATACTTACTTCTTACTAAGCCACACAACATTTTTGCATAAAATGGCACCTGATGCACTCACTTTCAATGTTACCTCTCTGTGTCATTAACAAAATAAGACTGGATATGCAACACTCAATGGGCCACTGGTAGGTACTAACAATGATGCCAAGTGATATATTTTCTTGTTTGTAGTAGTATAAAATTGAGGTGTCAACTTTTATAGCACTGTCAAGATTGGTATCCTTACCTTAATTAGTTTCCACAGACATTGCTTTCGTATTTACGTATTATAGGTATTCACAGATACAAGTGCAATATTTTTTTCACAAGGGTATGTTTTTTAGATTCCGTTAATAAAAAATCTGTAGAAGAAATTCAAAAATCATTATTTTTGGTAGCTTTGGACAATCCCATGCATATTCAAAACGACAGTCGTAGATCTATGGCTAGTAAACAATTTATTCACGGAGGGGGCAGCAGAGTGAATTCTGCTAATCGTTGGTTTGATAAAACCATTCAAGTGAGTAAAAATATCCTAAAAAGGAAATCTTTATTTACTTTAAAATATACCGTGTGACGTGTAGATCATGTTATAGAAGACAAATTGTTCAAGTGAATAATGTTTCTAGTTTGGAGCTGGAAGTTTCATAAGGGGTTCCCCAAGGATCGATTTTGGGTCCTTTTTTATTTTTAGTTTTTTTCCAACGACCTAATCACTTCCTTGAATGCTATTCCTGGAATATACCCAACTTGTTATGCTGATGATACAGATATTTTAATTATCGAAAATAAAGCAGATGCACTAAAAATAGCAACAGAGAGAACATATAATCAAGTTTTATCGTGGTCGGAAAAAATAACATAAAATTAGACAACACTAAAACTAATATAATGGGGTCTATTCTGTAACAATTCCTTTATCCGTTAAAATATTGGCGGCCTTTAAAAATATTTTCGTGTTCGCTACTTTACTTCTGTCATTATTTAAACGGATTTCTTTAAGATAGTATTAATGTATTTTAAAGGAATTCGTTTTAAAAATAATGACAGAAGTAATTTAGTAAATCCGAAAATATTTTTAAAGGCCTTCAATATTTTAACGGATAAAGGAATTGTTACAGAATAGACCCCAATGTTATTTAATAATAATGGACAATATATACAAAACCAATTATTTGAAAACACTAATAATCCAATTATATCTGAAGAAAATATTAAATTATTAGGAATCACTACATAACCTGGCACTCACATATTGATAACCTGTGTAATAAATTACGAAAAAGTTGCTATAGTCTTAGATTTCTTGCCAATTATTGTAGTAAAAGTACACTCTTTAACAGTGTATCATGTAAATTTTCACTCTCATTTGAAATATGGCATACTTAATTGGGGTACCTGTTCTACCAAGCAAACAGTTTTTGTTCTTCAAAAATATGCCATAAGAATTATTGCGAAACTGAGAATAAGAGATTCATGTAGGGTTTTTTAAAAAATTAAAATTTTGACACTGGCTGGGATATATACAGGGTGTTTCAAAAAGGTATGTCATAAATTCTTCCACAGATAGATTACCAAAAAATAAGTGGATTTGGCTATATTTACCCATATCAAAAACTGGCTCCTAACAAAGTTACAGGGCGTTAAACTAACATTTAAAAAACCGTTTTTTTTTTTGTAAACAGTTTGCTGTTGTGAATTTTTCCTTGAAATTTTTGCCAGTGCTGTAGATTTGAAGGCCCAATATTCTAAGGAGAAAAAAATTTAAAGCGACCCCTTTAAAAAAAGTTGGGGGGTTGGGTACCTTTTAACTCCCCGTATTTTTTTTGTCATAAAAAAACTTGCTTTATCGATCTAAAAATCAAAAAGAACTATGAATTTTTAATTTTTTTTTATACCAAAATGAACTCTGTACCTTTCTTAGTTGACGAGCTATTTACAATTTTTTAACTGCATATCTAGAGCAATTCGTCCGTCCTGGAATTAACATATCAACAAAACTAAGAGTAGGTCAGGAGTTATTGTACAAAAACCGCATATAAAAATCAGTGGTGGGCCTAAGGCTGTGCTTGAGCCGCCCCTACAAAAACTACCTCTTTTATTTATATTTCTGTATTCAAGAAGGAGGAGGACATGTTGAACATTTACTAAATTAAATAGTTTATAAAATATGTATAATAATTATTGTCAAGTGTTTATTTTTAATTGTTATTTTTTTTGTTAATCGTTTAATTAAAAAAATATTTTTTTTAATTACTATTAAATTTAATAAATACATTTCCAAACTGACGTGTATTTTTATCAGTGGCATGGTGAACCACGGGTGGCACACCATTTTTATGGCGCCAATCCAATATTATAAATACCCTTTTTACAAAAATATAAATAAAAGAGGTATTTTTTGCAGGGGCGGCTCAAACACATCCCTAGACACATCACTGATTTTCAAAATTTCAAAGAAAAATTCGCAACAGCAAACATTTTACAAAAAAAAAAGTTTTTCTGAATGTTAGTTTAACGCCCTGTAACTTTGTTGAGAGCAAGTTTTTGATATAGGTAAATATAACCAAATCCACTTATTTTTTGGTAATCTATCTGGGGAAGAATGTATGACATACCTTTTTGAAACACCCTGTATATTAGAAGCATGTACTTTCATTCATAAGAACAGATCAATATATTATGTTGCCGAGCGTGCTTCTCATGAGTATAACACAAGAAACAAAAGCCAATTACTAATACCTAGACACCGTACGGCACTTTTTGAAAAGAATCTAGAGTATATGGATTGTAAATTTTATAATATCCTTCCAGAGGGCATAAAGAACAACAGTAATCTCTTCACTTTTAAGTCTAATGTAAAAAAACTTTTATTAGAGAAAAACTGCTATTCCATAGAAGAATATTTTATATAATAATTCATGTTTTTGTTACGATAAACGTTGTATAATTTTTTTGTACACTTTTCTTATAAGGTGAAATAAATAAATGAAATATTACTATATCGCAACTATATCCCACCCTAAAAGAAGTGGTGAAATATGTCGACCTTGATTTCTTGGGGGACACATTTTACCATAATATTTGTATACGTAACCCTTCTACTGTACACAGTCACCCCCTTAAAAATTTAAATTGCAAGGGAGGTCAGTGATACCTCTTTTAAAAGGTCTTTAAATAATCTTTACAATCGTCTACATTTAAAATTTATCAATGGGTTTGTGGAAATAACTGTTTTAATAAAATATATCTTTTCGCAAGAAGTCATAGACAAAATATTCTTAATAGTTCAATTTTTAGTTTATTGTAGGTGAAGATGGGACTGTTGGTTTAACTTATGAACACTCACCAAGCGAAGGTCAGCCTATAGCTGTAATGACAGACTTTCTAATTGATTATATGTATGTATCTATACGTTATCACTAAAAAATCATATTAAAAACAATACATATTTTATAGCAAAAATAATGGTTCAAAAGATTTACATGACACCAAAATCGAAACAGAACCAAGGAAACTAGAATTTAATATCAGCGATTCTCTTCAAAAATATATTCAGCAAGCAAATGTGAACATTGATAAGTACGAAAAATACATTATATTTTGTAAGATTTGTGAACTTATCAGTTGCTTATTTTTTTCAGATTAGCAGATAATTTAGATTTGGACGCTTTCCAGTTTACTTCTTTTGGAAAGGAATTCGTCAAGTCACAAAAAATGAGCCCAGACAGCTATATACAAATTGCTATGCAGTACGCTTTCTACAGGTTAGATTAAATTAGTAAATACGCATTTATATAGAGAAAAAGAAAAATTATGTTTATTGGGGAATGCGCAATGTAACAAAACAAACTGAAATATTTTGGGGCGCTGATTACGAAAATGAGGGTTAAAACTGGCAGCAATGGTTGGAACACCCCTAAAATTGCAAGTGTTTTTCGACTGTACTTGTTGTTTTGCAAACTAAGCCATCTTATATGTTTTTTGGGGCGCCGATTACGAAAATCGGGGTTAAAACTTGCAGCAATGGTTGAACCATCCCTAAAATGGCAAAAAACACCCCTATATAGGGGTGTTTTTCGACTGTACTTGTTGTTTTGCAAACTAACTCATCTCATGTTTTTTAAGGCGCTGATTTCGAAAATTTGTGTGACACCCATCACATGCCAGAAACACCCCTCTCAAGGGGTGAATTTTCGGAAAAAATTACCAGTCACAGTGTTAAGATAATAGCCAAATTGTTAACACTTAATCACTCTTCCAAATCTTGAGAAATAACACTCCAAATGAAATTATGTACACAATAATTACACAGATAAATTATTCAATTCAAAGGTACTATATGATGGGATGAAAAATTAATAAACTGCGTTGAAATTGTACAAGAACAGAACGAGCGGGAAGTAGGAAGCACACATTGATGCTAGAGTATACGAAATATAGATGTGAGCATAGAGAGAAAACCTGAATCCACGACCTTGTATTCACACCACCTCTGGAGTCCCCTAGTGTTTCCAACGCGGCATATTTAAACTGAACAGGAGTTTTGATTCAAATGGAATATTGATTTTTTTCGGGTAACTCTTATTTTCGAAAGATCTTGATACTTTTTGTTAAAAAATTAAAATTAATTTGGAGTGTGCTGGACAGCGACCCAAAAAAACATATAAGATGACTTAGTTCGCGAAACATCGTGACTGGTAATTTTTTTGAAAATTCACCCCTTGGGAGGGGTGTTTCTGGCATGTGGGGGGTGTCACACAAATTTTCCAGTCTCGACACACCGATTTTCGAAATCAACGACCCAAAAAACATATGAGATGAGTTAGTTTGCAAAACAAGTACAGTCGAAAAACTTAGGGGTGTTTTTTGCAATTTTAGGGGTGTTCCAACCATTGCTGCCAGTTTTAACCCTCATTTTCCTAATCAGCGCCCCAAAATACGTAGGGGACAAGTGGTCTCGTCAAGTGCGGCGTTTCTCGACCTTTTACCGTTATTTTAAATGGATTATAATGTTTTTGCCCTATTGTATACTATTTTTAATTTTTACTTTATTTTAAACTCGTAGCAAGTCTCTACTTTTCAAAATTGTATGTGTTGACAAGGCTAATAGGTCTTATATGTTTATACATTTTTTTACCTTTTTAAAATATTGTAAATATGTATGTCTCAAAGTCGAATAAATATTATTATTATTATATATCCGCACCAGTTTAGAAAATATGAGAAAACCATCTTCAGAGAGTTTTCTTCCTTGTAAGATATTCTTGGATAAATATTTATATAATGCGCTGTTAAAATATTTACTTCTAATTTTGGAACACCCTATATTTAAAACGCAAAAATTCAAAAAGTATTCTCTAATACTAATATCGTTTTTTATTTTTTAGAATTCACCAAACTCCTGGTGCACATTACGAATCAGCAGCTACTAGAAAATATATTCACGGTAGAACTGAAACGATACGATCTTGCTCGATAGAGTCAATAGCGTTCGCAAAAGCTATGTTAGACAATAACAAGTCCATCAATGAAAAAGTAGCAGCTCTAAAAGAGGCGATAGCATCTCACAAAAAATATTCTTTAGAGGTACAAATCTAATTTCTTAAATGAAAATTGTAGTTTCTTTAAATTCATTAATTTTTTGTCTGAATTTTGAATCTCTCTGTAGATATCAACGGTTTCTTGGCACCATTTTTATGAGCACAAAACTGCGCAACTTTTGTGTAATTTAACCAACTTTTTATCTGTTACGTTTAAGAAATAGCAATACTGTTCCTATGAAACAGTAGGAGCCTTGTATACATCATAGTCCATGAAAAAGAGTTCATTTTCAATTAGTGGTTATTTTCAGGCTGTAAATGGTTTTGGAGTAGACCGCCATCTTCTCGGTTTGAAATTAATTGCTCTGGAAAACAACATTGAACTACCAGCCGTTTATAAAGACAAAGCTTACATTCTAAGCAGCCGTATGCGTATCTCAACAAGTCAGGTAGCCACAAAATGTGATGGTTTCATGTGCTATGGACCATTGACGCCCGATGGTTATGGCTGTTGCTATAATCCCAGACCTTACGATATTAATTTTGCAGTGTCTGCTTTTGTCGAACACCCAGATACTACTGCCAAGAAATTCAGAGAATCTTTAGAAGCTAGCCTTAAAGACATGCATGACATATTAGTTTTTACACAAAAAGCAAAGTTGTAATTTTTTTACTTTTTTTAAGATTTTACTAGTTGATAAATACGAAATATGAGTGGAGGACCAGTGGTTCCCAAACGATGTTGTTGAATCGCAAGTATTTCCAATGCCCTTTATGTGAAATTAAGAGATTTTTTACTCGTTTAGACATCCCTCTGCTTTCAGGCAAATTAGACTGCGCCAGTTGTACACTACTTTAATGAAACCGAGTTTATTACATAATTGAAAATAGTAATCGACTAAAAGTTTTGTATATTTTTCCAGCTGCTTTGTAAGGAAGCTGCGGCTTAACAGGGCCGCTATTTGTACTCTTTGAGAACCACTGGGCCAAAACATTTGATTTTGGTTATACTTACTGATAAATAAAATAACCCATTTAGCAACTACTTAAACTTAGCAAAATGTGTTATTAGAGATAAAAAAAAATTAAATTTACTTTTATAACAGTATTGTTAATATCGTCGGCTTAAAGTGTTAACCTGCTTAGTCCATTTTGACCATTTTACAGGAGAGGTAAAAAACAATTTTTAAGGTTATTCTTGATAAATTTTTTAAAAATAACTTTAGGAAAATGCTTAAGGGGTATAACAAAAGTGTTTTGGTACTAAAAAACGTAAAATATATTAGAATAAAGAGTTTTTTTGGTAATATTTGGGAGATAGCTGTTTTTCGTTTATTAAAATCGGTTTGTAAATGGACTTGACAGGGGTAATAAAACAAACAACACCTGTAGTCATTTAGACGGGCCAACAAAATAAAGAAAACTAATAGCGTTATTTCTTGTTTTATTTATTGTTTAAGGCTTTGGCACGTTTAATTGAACACAGGTATAAATATTTTATACAAAATAATTATTTTATTTTTTCAAGGGAAAAAGAACAAAGTAAAAAATTATACATAAAGAAATTCGTCATAAAATTGATGATAGTCAATTGGAAAAGCACAAAATTATACATGAGGAAGGTCTTCATAAAATTGATGATAGTCAATTGGCAAAGTTTTTTTGATAGATTGAAGGTCTTCATATTTTTTACCTGTTATTTTCCGTCTCTCTAAGTAGAGCTCTTTTAACTCTTCCCACGAGCATGAAATAATGTTTGTATTTTTCCGTTGGGGAATAGGTTCCCATTGATCAGAAAAACTAGTTTTATAATAAATATGACCTTCAGGGGTGTACCTCAGAGCACGAATGTTTGTTACCTTCAAATCGCCCTTGCCCCTTCCTGGACGGATACTTTTATAACGTTCTATTAAATCAATTTTTTAAAAAAAATCATGTGTCAAATACTTTACTTTGTAAGGTGATGGTTTTTTTTTCTCGCTTCCTGACATATAGTTACATAATCCGCTGGTACGTTGATGATTTGATCTTTGAGTTTTTTTCGATGGTCGCGTGAACCGAATCCACCTCCATCTACGTATGTCCCGACTATAGATACTTTTGCTCTATTATTAAATTACATGTAATCGCTACATTCAATAAAACATTAGACATAACAGAGTTTCTGTTTTGGTATCCACAACCATCCGTGTATATTATAATTGTAATCCTTTCATTAGTATCTTCTAACGGAGGAATATTTGGCAAAATCTTCTGTTCTACAAAATACATCCAAATACTTGCAAATTCTTCGGCACCAACACCTCCTTCACATTCGTTCCATACAAAACAATAAGCATCGGAATTTATCAAATTGTAGAAACACAAATTATGTACTTGCAGCTTTATTTTGTAGTATAGTGTGGAAACTTTTGATTTAGGGGCCATCAAATCTGCCGTGAACAAGTATTTTCCCTCCTTTTTATCTTTTTCCTTTTCTTTCCTCACTTCCGTTTTCTTCTGTATGTGACTATTAAATTCGTCTTCTGAAACTTGCCCAACCCTATAACCTACACACTTCTCACACTTATCTTTTTTAGGGTGAAAAAGAGCCATATTTTTTTCCTCAAAAGTTTTGGAGAACGTTGCTATTGAAAGAGCATCTTTTTTCATTGATTACACCAGTCTTGGACATAAAATTCATAAAGACTTTGTTTGGAATGCCATTCAGCCAGAAGATATTTTTTTGAGAAGTAGAATAATGTGAGTCCATAACTGGTAGATAATCTAAAAATTGGTTTAGGCATATGTTATACGTTGATCTTTAAAAACTTGATTTTTACTAGATGACTTTTGCCATGTCTCAAAAGAACTTTTCCAACGAAGAATTGTCCACCGTCCAATTCCAACAGTATTAAGGAACATGGTCCTGCACACCCTATGACTTTTTTCTTGAACTCTCAAAAAATATTGCAAGGATTGTCCTCTTTTGGTTTCATTTTCTTTTTTTCGGTTTCGGTGCCTTTGAGTTGGCACGAATTTAACTTGATTATCTATAAACACTTTCTTTTCACCCCATGCCATTGCCCAAAATGACTTGAAAATTTGCTGCCTTTCTTGTTCACTGATGGAAGCGCACTTCATTATATATTTTACAGTTGTTTTACAATTGCATCTATCATTCATAACCCGAGGTTCTTTAGGCTTATTATAGTTCCATTTTCCATCTTCTTTTACTCTACCTAAATAACTTTTGCCACTTTCTCGTAGTTTTTTATTTTTCTCCGCAAACCATTTTGATTCCTGAACTTGAAAACGTTTTTTACGTTTTTTGCTTTTTTTTTGGATAATATTCGTTTGAAGACGAACTTGAATCGGTATCGGAATATGGAACTAAATAATTATTTGCTTCATTATCATCAGAAATATCTGAAATTGTAGATTCTATTGTGTAAATTTGGGATTGAATTTGCTCCTCCGGGTTGTTTATTTCTGATATTAGTGTGGCGGCATTATCATTATTATTGGGTGCATCAGCCGTTACGTGTTTTACCTGCTGGTTGATGTCAAAGTATTTTAATTCTTCAAGACTCTCTGATTGTAGTACGATCTGATCTTCAAAAGAATCAGATATAATTATTTTGTTTAATGGAACAGAAATTTGGAGGGATTCCAAATCACAGTCTTTATTGGTAAAAGAGGAATCAATAATGTCTATTTCAACGTTTTCAACTACTTCAAAATTGCTGCTGGGTTGGTTGGCTTCTGCGGTATATTGAAATATTTTAACAGGATCTATATTTGAATTTAAATTTTTATCTAAATTTTTACGTTCATTTTCTCTGTGTATTATCATTAAACTCAGAATCGTTCTTTGACTTTGCCATTTCTACCAATCGCCTATTACGTGACGTCATCTGAAATGGAAATCCCCATAATTATAAAACAATAAAATTAAAAAAAAAATTATTTGTTTAATACTAAAGAATGTTAAGCTGCTATATTCCACAGCTACATAAAATAAGATACCGGAAACCCTGCTTAGTCCCTCTAGTTAAACAAATAGATTGAAACCTTAAAATGTTGACCCATTTCACATTTAAAATCAGTCAAAATGTTTTATAATCTATAAAAGTTACTTACCTTTATTTTTATCACTAAAATAATTGCAAAAAAGGGAAAAAAATGGCAAAATCACAGAGAAACAACACGCGTACTCCTGTCTCGACAAGCTCTTAACACAAAATGCACGTCGTGTTTCTTGAACTTGGCTGTTTTTCCGTGTTAAGAATTAGTCGACTGGACTTAGCTGTTATTCATATCATGCAATATTTTAGGTTTTTAGTAATAAAAGTGACTTGGATGTTTAACTCATCGAAAAAGTAAATAATGTAGAATTTTTAGAAGTAAAAACCTCAATTTACCTAAAAATGGACTTAGCAGGTTAACACTTTAGGCGGACGATATCTTTTTTAAAAATTTTAAATATTGATATATGCAATACCAATTTAATACAATAATTAGATGAATAAGAAAATTTGTGAGTATTGAAAGAGCATTATAAAAAGTATTTTTCTAGTTTAATAGTTTGTCCAATTACTAAAGAGTCATTCCATACAAAATCGCCTAAAAATAAAAAAAATTGTTGCCGATCCATTATAGATTTTGGTGTAACTTTGAGGAACTATTCCTTAGGGCCCCAAAAAAGAAAATTTACACGAGTTTGGTTTTTGTAAGCACTCCTTTCCACCTATTTAAATAAAGACTTTAAATAATCGATATTTTTAAGCCTTTGTCGACTTTTCCTCTAAAATATTTCTTTTTTTAAAGCGGAATTATGAGGGGAAAAGATAGTAGTTTAAGTGTAAGCATCGATAATTTGCTCAGTCAATACCTCTGATTAACGGCAACGTGCTGAAAATTAGTGTTTTTGGATAATTTTTCGTGAATTTCAATCGACTCCAGCGTCTTAACTGCTTAGACTTAGCAGCTTATATTCCTCAGAAATTAAGTGTATATATCATAGATAAAATACAGCCACAAGTCAACCTGAGCAGCCCACTCTTTACAGAAAAAAACTTTGCTTTAAGTTTTGAAATTTTCAAAAATTGCATTGTTCAGGTTATATAATGAACGTGTTGACTGCCAGATAAAAATCTGAAACTCTCAGAATCTACTGTTCTTACCTTTAACTTTAACTGACCGTACCACTTGTTTTGTTATTTTTATGTTTAGTGCATGTGCGAGTCGTTTTTTTACAGAGTCGGTTGAAATTCACGAAAAATGATTAAAAAAACACTTATTTTCAGCGCGCTGCCGTTAATCAGAGGAATTGACTGAGCAAATTATCGATGCTTACACTTAAACTACTATCTTTCCATCTCAGAATTCCGCTTTAATAATGTAGTTATCTGCAAAAAGAAAAATTTCAGAGGAAAAGTCGATAAGTCTTAAAAATATCGATTTTTTAAAAAGTATTTATTTAAATAGGCGGAAAGAGTGCTTATAAAAGTCAAACTCGTGTAAATTTTTTTCTTTGAAACCCTAAAGAATAGTTCCTCGAAGTTACACCAAAATCTAAGATGGGTCAGCTTTGCCAATTAGACGATTTCAAATGGAATGACTCTAAAGTGAAATAATTATAAAGTGTTCAGTAATGATATTGTTTTGGTACTTTTATACTGCTTATTAAACAAACCTGTCTCTTTTTAAGTGCCTTAAAATAATTACTACAATCATAAGCCTATTTTTTTATATGTCAAGATTTTTATACCCGTTTAAAATTAAAATGTTTTATGTCTCAAAATATAATTTTAGATCATTTTAACTGTTTTATTTCATTTAGAAAAAATCCGACTTTAGAGATATGACTGCAAATATTGCACAGTAATACAAATCATTAGAAAAACAGCAAAATGGAAATTAAAGTTCACAAAAACTTATATATTTTGACTTTTAAACCTTCCTATATATTGTAAGGATTATAGTAACCACCATTTTCACTTTACTAACAAAAACTCTTATACTTAACTCGACTGGCCTATGGTATACTCTTTATAATGGTGGGCGAGGTTTTCCTTAACTGTAAGTCAAATATCTCCATTGATCATCTTTAAGTCGCCCCAAAGCGCCACGGAAATAATAGCCATCCCTTCTCCCGACAAGCCATAGGCTTCAGGGGTTGAAGTAGGCAGAGTATTATTGTCACTAGTTCTTAGAGGACAATTCAATTAATTACAGTGATAACAATGTGTTTTATTTTATCTTATTTTTTAACTCACTGCATCCTAAAAAAAGTTTTGGAAATTCGCCTAAACTCGTACCTAACTAAATACAATTTATTATCCAACAACCAATATGGTTTTGAGAAAAAGAAATCCAAAGAAGATGCATTATTAGACGCCAGTAAACGTTGCTTATGGGTCTTTCTTGATTTATCAAAGGCATTTGACACATTTTCCTGCAAACATTGGAGCACTTCATTAAATTTATTTACTACCTATTTAAATGAAATAATGCAAACCATAAGGATAGCCAATAGCTACAGTAATTTTATGCCCATCAAATATGGTGTGCCCCAAGGCACTACCTTAGATCCGCTCCTATTCAATTTGTATATAAATAATTTATTTTCGATTAGGTCGAAGGGTGAAATTTTGCGGGAGCAACTGAAAAATATAGTGAAAACGATTTTCTTGCAATACAAAACTGGTTAAACTATGAACTCCTAACAATAAACGTTGAAAAAACCTTTTATTTACAACCATATATGTAATGTTGTCATTACTAACGTCATTGAAGGTTGGGAAGTGTCATATTACACACCTCTACTTCTATTTCATCTATTCTAGATGAATATTTTTTATATTAAAAAAAAAAATTAACAGTGACAAATTTTATAATACCTATTTAATGGCAAACAATAAAAAACAACAATGATCTAAAATATAACAAACTACTTACTGATATTTATTATTCGCGAATTTAATATCTGGCTTTATCTGACATTTATTTATATTGGTGACCTTTGTTTACCCCATAATCACAGTAACAATATATTTACCTACTTGATTATTCTGAGAAAACCGCGCGCTTGGTAATTTGTCCTTAAATGTAATATTTTAGGTATGTTCAGAACAAAACAGAGATTTATTAACTTTGATCGAAATATGATGGTTGCAAATAAAATAGTATACAAACCTCAGTAGGAAGTTTTATTCCTGTCTCGAGATCATAGCTAACCTCGACGCTTCGCGTCTCGGTGATCTAACTAATCTCTGGACAGGAATGAAACTCTTCCCACCTCGATGTGTAATATACTATTACATACCTTTTTTTCTGTAATAAATCCACAGCTCCCTCCTTCAATCAACTAATTATTATTACCACTAACAACCAATATATAATAAATTCAGTAACATGAAATATCTGGGTATATATTTGGACTCCCATATGAGATGGGATGTACATATTTTTATACTTGCAAAAAAACTAAGAAGTATTCTCTAAAAGTTTAAATTTTAACAATATTAAATGTTAACAAGCTTAAAATCCTCTATTATGCACTGGTTGATAGTCACCTCAGATATGTTTTTCTTATTTGGGGTAATGCACTTAAAACTCACCTTCATCCATTAGAGATTTCTAAAATTAATTTATAAAAAGGACTTGACATTTCCCACTGACCAATTGTATATTGAGGCAACATTTTTGATATTCCTCAGCTTCATTATTTCAAAATTGTTTTTTCTTACTACATTAAGAAATTCACTGTACCTTCACACACTACAAATGGAATAAACAATTTCAAATAACTGCCAATATGCAAAAATCAATTGGGCAGCATTCCTGTACATACATGAGCCCAAAATTGTTTAATAGGATTCCACTAGAATTAAGAGTAATAGCTAATCAGCAAAAACTTAAAAAATATTCAAAATCATACCTACTTGAACAAACTCAACAATTTGTATATATTAAATCTTTCTAAGCTTTAATAACTGGTATTTTCTTTTCAATTTATCTAAATATTAAGCTATACGAACACTATTTGATCTTTGTAATTATATTATCTATTTTTTTTGTGTTCATTTATTGTAAGTTTTTCTTTCATTTTTGTATCGAAACAAGAGAAGAATTCACTTATCGATTTCTTTTCACTTTTTTATACCTCAAGATTGTATCATTATATTTTGCAAATTAGTATAAATTCATCATTATTATTATTTAGGATTACCCCATGTAGTATTTTTTGGTGGCTTTTTTGGGTTGACCAATAACTCATTATAAAATAGAGACAAATTAAAAATTTTAAACAATTTATTATGTTATTACAAACTAAGCTTTCAATGCAAACTTCCTTACAGGAAATATAGATCGCTTACGGATGTCTTTGGGGGTTTTAATCCTCTGTTCATGTTTGGATAGAGCTCTGCGAATAGAACGGGTCTTCTTGGGTCTAAGATCTAATGGCTTGTATTTCTTGTTTTTATATAATAATCTTAAATTTTCTTTTTGCTTCTGGTGCATAACAATATAAACACGAGCAATAGCTTTCCTAACAACTCGGCTGAAATAACAAATATTCACTGAACTGAGAAAAATAAAAACCAAAATATACATACATTTTTGAAAGTTTAGATGGAGCTCCACCAGTTACTTTTGCTACCCGCAAGGAGGTAAGCTCAGTTTTCAATTCATCGAGTTGTTTGGTCAACTCCTTTTTGTCTTTGGACCTTAATTCGGAGCACTTTACTTTTCCCTGTAACAAAAATAACCATTATGATTTCGGCACATAACCAAATTTAATATTTATAAGTGTTAAACTAAATAAATACTAAAACGTAATTGTCGCGTACAAAGTGGTTTATTCATTTTTTATACAATTATGGAAGGATGAGTAGATTTATTCTACATTTTAACAGATTTATCACATACCATGATTATTGTCGCCAAAACAACTTCTAAAAAGAATTGTCAAATGAAAAATGACAGGTGACAAATATTACCTTATTCTTCTGTTTAGTTTACAGTATAACTGACTTCATAGCATTAGCAGTTAACTTTTGAATGTGTGCTACTTGTTTTTACTTTACAGATCACACACAAAAAAAGAAAACTCAGAATATAACCTACAAATTTAATCACATATTCTGTCAAAGTCAAATTAAATTTTAGATTGGGTGTGTTTATTTTTTAGTCAATATCCGTTTTGTTATCAGAAATTCCATTATAAAGTTTTAAATTCTATTTCCCAAAATGGCAAAGAACACATCGAGTTCGGCTTTTCGAAAAATCGACGTTGATCAGTATTCCGAAAACAATTTTAGAGAAGATGAGACTGATTCCGGTGGTTCAGTAGGACCAGATGAGAACGAAGTTAACAATTTACTTCAAAAATATCCTTTTTAAACGACGCGTTACATTTTTAAGTGAATATACTCGATATGGTAACAATATTAATGATGTTCTTGGTAGACATATATTTGGTACCTGTTGCTTCAAAAGCTTTCCAAACCTTTTAAAATAATTTTATTTTACTCTATTGATATTAGTTCTACAGTGCTGGCAAGATCAAACCATTGGGCCTACTTTACCTGTGTTAAAGTGAATACTAAATGGCGTTCCTAGGTACAGGAAAAGAAGCGACACATTGTGTAATGTTGCAATGATGTTACTACATACTTTCCTCTCTTGTACATGTGAATGCCAGTTGCTATTGAGTTCGGTACATGCAAAGTGGGGAAGGTTTGATCTTGCCAGCACTGTATAATTCACACACATGCACACTAAAAGTGGCTAGACTTTTTACTTTCTTTCGCTGGAACTTTTCTTTGATCAGTAAACTTTCAAAATTAAAAATAACTTTTTGGGCGGGCGACTACATTTCATGCAAAATGAATACATCAAATTCTAACAATGATTTTATGTTGATTTGAGCAATATCACTTTATACAAATTTCCTAATAGAGCTAGAACCCTTTGAAGATATTCCATTTAATATATTTTTTCAAATATTAAAATTATGAAAATTATTTTATTAGTTAATTTGAACTTTTCTTCATATGTCAGAGGGCTCTTGTTCCTTTAGAAAATTCATTTTACTCAAATGAACATAAAATCATCTCTAGATTTCAAGGGTTACCCTTTGTTTAAAAAATATGGTTTGTGAGTACATTTTCAATTGAATATAGATCTAATTAAATAAATCAAAGTTTATGTAATTACACAATATACTCGTATTTTCCTTAATGGCTTATATACAGGGAAACATTTAGATGCATTAAAAGTGGTTTTGAATAATGCTCCATTAGGAATAAAAAATCAAGTAATCAAGGTAAGCCCTATTTTTCTTATAACTTAGATTTGTTTTCCATAAATTAATTTATTTTTATTTTAGGACAATGCTTTCAATATAGCATTCAAAGTACTATTAGCAATAAAACCATCTCAAATAGAGGAAGTCACAAATTCCTTAAATATCGAATATTTGGATACTCTAATGAAGTATGTTTATAAAGGCTTTGAATGCCCATCAGAAGGCAGCAGTGGACATTTACTGTTATGGCATGAAAAAATTTATAATATTGGTGGAGTTGGTTGCATTGTTAGAGTATTGTCAGATACCAGAAGAGTTTAAATTATTATAGAACCTATGTAATATATTTTAACAACCCACCCTGAATATTTCAAAAGCAAAAAATGTATTTTTGATCTTAATATCATCACTAGTTTAACCCCATCCCTTATGTACACTACCCCTTAACTAGTTTGAGTGATAACGTGAAGATACCAGTAGTCGACACCTTAAGAAAAATATAATGGTAAATTTACAATTAATTTCATAAATTTGCCTCTATATTTTGTTATCAACTTCAGATAGAACACCTTAAGTGTGGTCTAGGTAAACATTCATATTAAAATGATATATTGTTTTAATTTTCTTTTTGGTAATTTTTTTTTTGACCTTATGCATTTGCTCCAATGGTTGACAGGTGCAGATTAGCTAGTTCTAGTAGTTGACATCTTACTTAGTGAGGTTAATAAAACAAACAATTTCGGATTAATTAATTTATTCATTAATTAAGAAGTTACACCAATGGATTCCTTAAACCTATAGCTAACCCTTCAACACTAATTTGGGCTGCTCCAATTTTTTTTAACAGGACAAAAATTTATTTCGCTGATGTCCTTTTCAACTGCTATAAATTCTTTGTGAGAGTTATCAATGCATTTACAACCCATAACAACAATATTTTCAGATGAAATTAATGTTTGAACAACACACACAAATTTAAACTCTGACCCATTTCGTTTGCCACCCTTAAAGTGGGTAAGAATATAATCGCCTTCCTTTAATTCACTATAACTCATGTTATTGGCAATTAATACGTCCTCTTCATCTTCACTTTCTAATGTTTCTGACATGTCAGATTCTTGAAGAGAAAACCAAGTAGAAGAATCATTTGAAGAACTTGAAGAAGACGAGAGATATCTTTTCTTTGTAGTTGTAGCCTTTTTGGTCTTTTGCTTAGATTCTGCCTTTTTTTGTTTCATATTCCTTTTTTCTCTTCTCTAGCTAATTTCCGTTCTTCCTTTTGTCTTTCCATCTCCTTTTTGGTATTCAACTTTTTATTAAAATATTCCAACATTTGTGGAGAAGTAGCAATGGCTGGTAATTCTTCTTTTCTTTTTTTCTTAACTTCAATTGGGCCGTCTTCCTTCCAAAACAAAACTCTTTTAAAAGGGGAAGGAATGTTTTCTTTATGATCAGTAAATCCCTTCACTAAAGGGATTTGAGATGGTGCAGTTCATTGCTAGTAGAACAAGAAGGTGCAGTAATGTTTGTCACATTGTTTAACATAAACTCTGGTGCTACTCGTGACTCTGGAGTTGATGCTTCTATAATTATTGGTCCAGCAGGAGAAATGTTTGTGTCTTGAGACACTACATCTAAGAACTTCGGTTCTTGTATGGATGCTAGTTCTTCATTAGATTGGTGAAAAAATTATATTTAGTTCTAGTAGTTCATATTTATATAAAAGTAATGTTACCTTTTCTTCAGTATTTTGAGGTTGGTGGTCATGCCATAAATTAAATAAAGATGTGTCTTCAGTAGGCTCTTTCCATTCATTTTGACTGTCTATAAAAGATGTTATTTTATCCTTGCCGATTTCACGTTCTAATATTGTAAAAAATAGTTTGTCCTCTGCAGTTTTTCTCATATTTAAAGTTTTAGTTTCTGCACTTGGCTCTCCATCAACCTTAACTGCCTTTGGATCCCAAGGAACCAAGCCAAATTTTTTAAATCCGTTTTTTATTGTTAAATCTTTAATATGAGGAAGAACTTCTTTTAATACTGTTGCAAAATTATTGTACTTATTAGGAGGCTCTCCATTATGTTGAATTTTCCAATCTGCAACTTTCTGTCTTCAAATGGATTTTAAGACATGAAATACAGATACATCCATAGGCTGCATAATGTGTGTAGCATTTGGATATAATGCTATTAATTCAATATTTTTGTCAATACAAAATTGACTAAGCTGTAAGGATAGGTGGGATACATGTCCATCTAAGAACATCACAACTGGTCTGGGAATACCTTCCTTTTCAAGCCAGGGTACGAAAATATTAGCAATGAATTCAAAGAATAGCTCTTGAGTCGTCCACCCTTTTTTAGACTTTCCTATTGCCCAGTCAGAAGGAAAGTTTTCAGCTATACCTTGTGGTATCCTGGTGTACCTGTAGACTACTAGTGGAGGTACAAGTTTTCCATTTGCATTGGCTGTAGTTAAAGTTGTTAATATTGAATTTTTCATCATTACCAGCAGCATTATAAACAGTTTTACATACTTTGGGAGCCAGAACTTTGCCCGGTTTTGGATTTAAAAAGAATGCTGTTTCATCGCAGTTAAACACACAATTTGGATTTTTTATGACATTTTCTATTTTCTTCTCCTTTAAATATCTCGCAATTTCCTCAAAGCATTGATTGATATTCTCTTGTGTAACAGTTCTTCTTTGAGAAGTTAAATTTTGACCAGTTTGAAATGTAATATCTTCGTGGCGTTTTAAAAAAAAGCTTAACCATTTCTTTCCGGGTTTGGTATTTCAATTAAAGGTGATCCTTAATTCTAAAGATAGTTTAGAAACACTTTCCAGGAGGTTTCCTTTGTCAAAGGGAACCTGCAAGAGCTAGAAATTTAACTCAATTAACAAGAATCAATTCATGTTCAGAAGAAAATTTGCTTGATTGTCCCATTTTTCTACAAATTGGAACTTGTCCGTTATGCTTGCCCATTAGCGTTATTCTTGGAACCCCGTTTTTTTGCTGCAGCATTGTATGACATCCCTCTATTCACATCTTCTATAGGAGCTAACATATTTGCTTCAGGGTAATTTAAAATCTTTTTACGTTCCATCTGTAAATAAGAGTAAACAAATCAGATCATATAGCTCCAAAGCTCGACATGCCATGTTGGGCTTTAGGGCTTTGGATCCACTTGAAAAATTCGTTTCAAACACGTAGTAGGCAGAATGTCATAAAATATTTGACATACCTACCAACCCATTTAATATTATTTAAATTTCCTTAAGTCGACTACTAGAACTAGATCTTTTTTCTGTTCCAAAAGTCGACAAGCCGGTTTTTTCTTGTTACAAACATGTCCTAACTATCTTAACAAATATATTCTGTTAACCATTGCTATTACTAGTACAGTCATAATTTAAAAGTAATGAATATTTTTAAAACAAAACTTTTTAACATCATTTGGTAATACTTACTTCTTACTAAGTCACAACAACTTTGCACAAAATGGCACTTGATGCGATCACTTTCAATGTTACCTCTCTGTGTCATTAACAAAATAAGACTGGATATGCAACATGCAACACTCAATGGGCCACTCATAGATAAATTAATATTAATTTATCTATGGGGCCACTGGTAGGTACTATCAATGATGCCAAGTGATATATTTTGTTTTAGATTTGCAGACTTTTCTTGTTTGTGGTAGTATAAAATTGAGATGTTGACTTTTGGAGCACTATCAACTACTGGTATCCTTACCTTGCCGATCTTTTTACTTACCTTTGATATGTTTAAATTATGATTTTTGTATTTTGAAACATCAGTGGTTTAATTAAATTGGTTAAAAATAAGATGGAAAAATACAAAAATAAAAAAGGAAAACTTGCAAAAATTAGAAATCAATTATTTACTTTGGACATTTTTAAACTAGTAAAATCTGTTTTTAAATTACTTTCCCTTTTGAAACGTTATTATTGAATTATTTTGTTTTTGGTTGTGTTTTATACTAGTCTTTGATTAACAGAGAAAATTTAATAGATAAGGTATTCTTTTTAAGTTAACCCTCCCCCAATGTCTTAAAATTAAGAAATGTATAAACAAAATTGAAATTTAAAACGGGGCAACTGATGCATGCTTAAAAAGACAATTTTGTGTACAACTTTTCAAATATTTAGGGTTGATCTTTTAAGAGAACATAGTTAATATTAAGGGGTGTTAACTGTACCTCATGATTTGATTGATTGTTATGTGATTTCACTATTTTGAACAATACTAAGCTTAACCTTTGAATAGTATTATTTATAATTTTATATGTAAATTGAGAGTTTAAAAAATAGGGATTTTATTTATCAAAATAATTGATATTGTGGAACAATTGTAAGTCTAAGTAGTTTCTTTTATAGAACTATTTTCAATCGACCATTCTTATATTAGAATATCCGATGCGAGTAGAAAATCAATGCATAAAACACATTTAGAAACTGATTGTATATTACAAATATAACATTATTATTACATTGAAACATTTGGCAAATCTTGTAAAACAATATACTTCACATGGAAACATTAATCTGACTGTACTTTCTATTATCTTATTTGATTTATAATAATTTAAGATCCAATATATTTTAAACAATGTGAGCCTCAAATAAATAATTTACTACAGGTAGTTACTAAGTGTTTAAAATTAACAACCTTTTTTCTAAATTACTTGAACTGTCCAGGAGTGGGTCCAAACAAGCTGTTTCCTTGTTTTGATGCAGCACGAGAAGGAGCAAATCCAAGTAGTTTTTGGATATTTTGTCTTATAGACATGGTACATAAGATATACAAAAATATGAATGAACAATCATAAAAATCTTCACCTGGAAGATTTCTATGGCTTAAACCTTGGATCCAGTTTAGAGGCAAAAATGGAAGTCTGGCTACAACTCTTCCATCAAATCTAAAATATATATATAATGTAATAAATTCAATTTTTATTTTTATTGATACACTTACATGCTATTAAACATACTCAATAATGCGGTAAATGCAAATCCAATGGCAAACATGGATTTCATTTTTACAAATGATAGGTCTCTATTATTGTTTTTAAGTCTCTCCTCCTCCCTTTCAATTTTTTTCTTATGCTGCTTGTCCAATGAATCTCCATGGATTTCCTTTCGTTTTTCTACTAAAATTTTGTCAAATTTAAGTTAGGGGCATTTGGATCAACTTAAGTGTAAAGTATCTGACAAAAGACTAATAATGCTAAACGTTTCAGATTTAGCAATTCCTAAAGATACAGCTGAAGTTGTAAATGTGCAAATACGACTGTTATGCTTTTAAAGACATTAGGTAGTTCAATTAAAGACAACCTAAAAAGTGGCGATTTAAAGACACGAACCTAAATGAAGTTCCGCTATGCCTTTTTCTCCATAAAAAAATAAGGGAGCTAATATAAATGTTTCAGAGGTTTTATTTAATTTTCCTGCTCTGATAAATTTTCTGACATGAAAACATTAAAGGATACGAAAGTACGTATAGAAACTTACATTTTTTACTTTGTTTTTCTACTTCTGCTTTTAACTTTTGATATTTTTCTGTACGATATACCATTAGCCACGTTAATCCTTCTCCTAATAAAGCAGTGCATATTGAAATAAATACTATTAAAAGCGTATCAGCCCACATTTTACAACAGCACAAGAAAGCAGCAGCAAGACACCAATATTAAAATTAAATTGTCTCAAATGAAATCTCACAGTTGAAATTGAAAATATTTTGCTTGGTTATACAAAACGTCAGATTTTTGACGTCTGACGTCTTTTACTAGCAAGTTATTTACCTAAAAATAAACGCTTGTCTAGTACTCATTAGTAAAACAGGCAACAATAAAACTATTTCCTAAAAAGTTTATCAAAAAACTAAATTTTTGTTGAATCAAAGAAAGTTTTTAAAATTTCTCGGTAATTTAATTTTTGGATATTTTAACAAATTATTTCTAAATTTGTTATGAAGTCTTTACTAAAAAAAATTTAGTTTCTTCTTCTGTATTTTTTATGGCCTTTTTTACTTATTTATTTTCGTACATTCATTTCAAATTTCAAAAGATTATTTTGGTTTGGATTTTCTTTTGTTGAAAACAAACATTACAAAATTACTTGAGTTCTAACGGAAGTTGTCGATTTGTGTCTTACCTTAATTAAACAAAACAACAGGAAGCAAAATTAAAATTAACCCGGCGACATATTTCTAACCTGCATTCAAGCTTTAGAAATAGTCATAGAAAAACTAAAAGTATTATTAATACTTAATACTAATAGTATTATTGATTTCAGGCAGAATAGTAGGTGATCTGTGGGCAGAATCTAATTAAAGGCGAAAGCACTTTAATAAACTCGAATTATTTATCAAAATGATTGTTCTTGGAGAAAAATTTCCAAATTTTTTAGCCCAAACCACCATTGGAGATATTACATTCCATGAATATCTTGGAGATTCGTAAGTATCTAGTTTTAACTGAATATATACCTAAAATAATTTTTTTTAACCTACAATTAAAAAAAGACTATTCTTAATAATGTCACCAATTACTTAGAATAAATAATTATTAATATGTAGGTATTCTAGATAGGTTATGGTGGGAGCTGGTTGTAAATTAATAGAGATGACTTGAATGGCGTAGGATTCATATAAATTCTACAAATAAATATAATAATAATAATAATGTTTATTTTACTTCTTACATATATTTTTTTTTACAAATAAATTATCTTTTAATGTAAATAAACATGGGTTAGTCCGAAAAAACCATAAGGTTGTGCTCGGAAATTACTCCTGTTTATTAGTAGCGCCATAATTGCTGATAAAAATTAATAATTATAACAATGGACTCAAGATTAATAATAATACCAATAGTAATTACAATAATAATAAATGTAAATATGTGCAATAACAATAATAATAATAATAATAAAAAATAATATACATGAATAATAATTAATTTTACTAGCTAGCAGACTAATTAATGACTAATATGAACATGACAATGAGTATAATACGAGTAGTTAATATTATTAAATTAAATACTTAATACAAATATATATAACAATAATAATAATAATAATGCCTTCTTAATAAATATTATAATTAGTTAAAAAAATTATATAAAAAGAAAAAGCGTTAGAATATAACAAAACACAATTTTCAAGAACATGCAAAAACACACATTGACAGATGATGAAATGTAGAATTAACAAACGAATTGTAAATTATTACAAAAAAGATGAAAAGCAATGAACAATTTTTGATGACAACAGGAAAGCATGAAAATTATTACACTTATTTAGTTAAATTTGATGTTTTTTTTTTAATTTTTATTTTTTAGAGATTAGGTACTTTAGGTTTAATTTTTATTAAGATATTTTAGTTTAATTCAATTAAGTCATGAATATTTTGTCGACCAGTATTTATCAAAAAAAATTTTAAAGATCTTTTTAATGTAGGATAAGGAATTTATTTTTCTTATATGGATTTTATAGATTTCTGGCAGAAAATTGTATATTTTAGGAGCTAAGAAGGTAAAACATCTTTGTCCTATAGTTTTTTTTTTTTTTAATAACGGGGTCTTAACAAATAATGACGATTTTTGAGGAGTATCATACTTTGATCAATTTCATATAATATGATTTCCTTATTTTTATATGTGAAAATTAAAACTGCATAACAAGCAAATTGGCCTCCTGAAAAAGTAGGTCTGTGGAAAAATGAACAGATTTTCTTAATAATAATTTTAGAAATCGTTTTTGGAGAATTTCCATAGTCTTTAAGTGAACTTGGTACAACCCATCCCATACAAGTATACCATATTGTAGCCTTGATTCAACGTGTGCATAATAAATAGTTTTCAAGTAATGAACACTTAAAATGGTACTTAGGTATTTGAATTTATAAAGTAAACTTCTTAGTGTTTTGTTATATTTTGTACATGTTTGTCCCACTTTAAATTACAATCTATCCTAACCCCAAGATACTTAATATAATTAGCTTTTTTTATTATTGTATCCTTGTTATTTATATTGATTGTAATTAATTGATAATCGGGCATACTGTTATTGTAAGCAGCAAAGGGAATAAAAAAATGTTTTTTCAAAATTAACAGTTAGTAAGTTGTGATTAAACCATTCCATAATTTTTTGCATATCAGTTTCAATTTTTTGTTGTAAATTTCCCCATGTTTCACTGCTATAAATGATGGCAGTATCGTCAGCGAAACATAATATCTCACCAGATGTTTCTAAATTGAGTAGGCTATTTATGTATAAGGAAAACAGCAACGGTCCTAAAATAGTTCCCTGAGGTACCCCGTACTCAATATGCAAAAAACATCACTGTAACAATTCTTGGTTTTTACCGTTTGTGTTCTTTCTTTAAGGTAGGTTGTCATTAATTTGTGTGGTATACCCCTGACACCAAGATCATCCAAGACATCTAACAGTTGAGCGTGTGACACAGTGTCAAATGCCTTGGCAAGGTCTAAAAATATGGTAATTGTAGGAATACTCTTATCTACCAAATTATAGATTTTTGATGTTAGTGTTTTTATAGCATCTAATGTAGACACACTTTTTCTAAATCCATATTGATTACTCAATATAAGGTTGTATCTATCTATAAAATTGTTCAGTCTTTTATTTAGAGCTGATTCAAATATTTTAGCTAAGCAAGTAATTAGGGAAATCGGTCTGTAGTTAGAAGTCAGTTTATGGTCACCTTTTTTGTAAACTGGAATTACAATAGATTGCTTAAAGAGTGAGGGACATATTCCAGTTTGAAAAATTCTATTAATTAAATTTGCAGTAGGCATTTTTATTTCATCAACAATATATTGTAGGGTTTCAGCTTTTATACTATCGTGACCAGGTGCCTTGTTTGGTTTTAACGATTTAATAATAGTTTTAATTTCCATCTCTGTTACAGGTTCTAAGAAAAAGGTATGTATATTATATCTGGGTGGACACGACGTATCAGGTTTTTGAATGCGTTTAGCGTAAGACACACCAACGTTTGTAAAATATGTATTAAATAAATTTGCAATAGTTTTACTATATTTTATTACAATATTTTCATTAGAACATATTTCAGTTATCTCATTTTTTTTTCATTACCACTTATTTGTTTTAACTGTTTTCCAAAGACCTTTAGAGCTATTTTTATGTTTATCTATTTCATTTTGATAGTATTTTCTTTTTGCTTCTGAGACAAGTTTTGTTAATTTATTTCTATATTTTATAAATCTATTTTTTAATTCCAAATTTTCAGGGTTTTGTTTGTGTGTTTTGTAAAATTCGTTTTTTTATTAATAGACGCTATGAGTCCGTCGGTAATCCATAATTTTCTTTTTACATCCTTTTTGTGTATCTTTATTTTATGAGAATTGTCCTGGACTAATTTTATTATAATATTTGTAAGCTCCTTTGTCATGGATTCTACATCATCTAAATTGCAGAAATAAGTCCAGTCATATGTCTGCAACGTATCCTTAATTTTTTTGTGATTTGTATATATTTTTGTACGTTCAAGTGTTTTCATTTGTTTTTTATTTGGAAGAGCAATGAAGGTAGCTTTATGATCAGTTACATTAAGGTCTACTGATATAAAACTGTTATCCATATTTTCAGTTCCCTTTACAAATATGTGATCTAGACATGTTCTCGATTCACCCTGAATTCCAGTACTTTTATTTATGGCAGAAACAAAATCATTTTCACTGAGGCAGTCTAGGTATTCAGATGAAACTTCATTTTCAACATTAATATCAATATTAATATCTCCTGCTAAAATGTGATATTTAACTGGAATATTTTTAGAATCATCAAGGTAGTTTCTTAAGCCTTCAATGAAGTTGATTTCATCAGTTGAGGGTGATCTGTATAGAATAGTAATTATTGGGTTATCGTTTTTATTAAAAATTTTAATTTGTATTGCTTTAAATATATTAATAGGGATAATTTTACACGAATATTTTAACGATTTCTTAATAAAATCAACAACTCCATCGTTTCTATTTACATCGCCTTCATTATACAGTGAGCATCATAAGTCTTACCCCCCCTAACTAACTCGTTACTGGGGTCTTGTTAGGAAAATCGCCGAGACAGGTCGATTTTTGATTTCTACAATGTACATTTTTGCATGATTAGTTTACCCTTAATTTCATCCCTTTTACTGAAGGGTAGCAACCCTTTCGAAAAATTTAAATGGCATGGGGTAATGAGTGATAGCTCATTTGAAAGGGGGTTTTATTGTCTATTCAACCGTGCAAAAAATTTTGAAATTTGCTTCTTTACGTGTTGATTTATTAATGTTTAAAAATAACAAAACCTCACGAAATAGGAAAGCAACTAGACTAACAGTGACCTTCTAATGGCAAAAAGTCTTACTTCACGTCTGAACCAAAATCGAAATCATGCAGGGCCGAATTTTAATTCTAAGGATGAATGCGCTACGTTAATTTCCGTTATTCTGAAACAACAATTAGTCGAGAATTAATGAAGCAAATTTCAAATTTTTTTACACGGTTGAATAGAGAACAAAACCCTCTTTCAAATGAGCTATCACTCACCACCCCATGCCATTTAAATTTTTCGAAAGGGTTGCTCCCCTCCAGTAAGGGATGAAATTAAGGGCAAACTGTTCATACAAAAATGTACATTGTAGAAATCAAAAATCGAAGTGTCTCGGCGATTTTCCTAACAAGACTCCAGTAACGAGTTAGATAGGGGGGGGGGGGGTAAGACTTATGGTGCTCACTGTATATGATATCATAACCAGGTAAATCAAATAATGAGCATGAGGTAATTTTTAGGGTCTCGCTTATACATATGCAATCGACATCAAATTCGATTTGACTTAAGTGAATCTTTAATTCATCTAAATTTTTGTATATACTTCTAATATTTTGATGGATTAGTTTAAAATTGAATTTTTTGTCATAATCATATTGTTTCATCAAATTGTTCAATTGCGGAATTTCTGAAATTTTTTTGTATTTACTGGAGAATAATTTATATCACGAATATACGGGTTCGTTTTATCAATAAAATTTATTTCTTACAGCTATAACAAAACACACTAACAATAATTTAATAAAAAATGAGTATGATAGTACGACACTCAAATAATTTTTGGAAGATAAGTAGTTAAAACCTACGCCTAGTAAGGAGCAGACAAATTGCACAAATACTATTAACAATAATCTTTATTACAATTTTACTTTCCTATCTGTATACAGATATAAGGAAAGTATAGGAATCATGATTTTTTTCGACCTCGAGTTTTCGACGGATTTTTACGTTTTGAGGTCCCCTGAATCCGTTTTGACTATTTTCGCGATGATGTCTGTGTGTGTGTGTGTGTGTCTGTGTGTGTGTGTCTGTGTGTGTGTGTGTGTGTGTGTGTGTGTGTGTCTGTATAACGCATAACTCATGAACCGATACACAGAAAAACACCAAATTTTAAACTTAAGCTTTGTTTCAGCGTCTAATGAGCTGATTAGATTTTGGGCAGAGTCGGAACATTTGGGGGGGTACTTTATAGGTGGTCATTTTTATATTTTATGGAATATATCTGTTATTTACGTTTGGAGAAGAAAATTCCTTAAATAAAAGTTACTTCTAATATTATTATCTATAATTTTTGTTATATACAAAATTTTCCTAAAATGGTCCGTATTCGCGAAATTTGATAAAATGTAAAAAAATATTTTTTTTTTATAAAAATTGTTCAAACAAAAGTTGTTTGTAATATAATTCTCTATAATTTTTATTCTATAGATAATTTCTCTAAAATGGACCGTATTCGAGATATTTGAGAAAATGTGTAAATTTCGAAATTTGAAGAAAACTCAAAAACGGATAAAGAAAAAAACATTAAATTTTAAACTTAAGTCGGAACATCTGGGGGGGTACTTTATGGGAGGCCGTTTTTATATTTTATGGAATATATCTGTTATTTATGTTTGGAGAAAAAAATTGTTCAAATAAAAGTTACTTCTAATATTATTATCTATAATTTTTGCTTTATGTAAAAATTTCCTGAAATGGTCCGTATTCGAAAAATTTGACAAAATGTGCAAAATTCTGATTTTTATGAAAATTGTTGAAATAAAAGTTGTTTGCGATATCGATCTCTATAATATTTGTTCATACATGATTTTTTTAAAATGGACCGTAATGGAAAAATTGTAGGAAAAGTGCTAAATTTAAATTTTTCAGTATTTTCATTTTCAATGAATATCTATAGAAAAACGTTTCGCGGTAGATGTATGTGGACAATGTATATAATTAGTTTATCCTCTAAACATTTATAGAGATGCTGCAATAGGTTGTACAAAATAACCGGAAAAAGCCTATAATAACTAGATAGGAAAGTCATGTGTTGGACACATCAGATTTTTTAACTAGATTTCATTATACTGTGACTTGTTTGTCTTGTCACTCTTCTATTAAGTCCTTCTTCAGTATCGGAGGGATCAGTATATTTCCGATTATCAGCATATTGGGCTTTGTTTGGAATTTTGGTTATTGCGGAAATAAAGTCTTTATCTGAAATTTTTTGTAATTAACAGTGAATGGTTTACTATTGACAATCAATATATTCTTCTTGATATACGCTTCCTGTTTGTTTATTCTGGCTAGTTTTTGAAGTTTATATAAAACTTTACGATCCTGGTAGTCTTCCTGAATATAATCCCTTGATATAAAGATTCCTGAATCTTTAAGGCGCAACTGATTTTCTAGTATAGTTGTTGTTAGTTTATAATGAATTAGTTCTAGGATCAGAGGTCTTGGGTTTTCGGTTTTCTCTTTTACCATACCTATACGGTACATATCCCTTACATCATGAAATTTGCATTCTATATCAAGACGGGCGTTTATCAATTCAAGTACATAATTGATATCTTGTAGTTCACCTCCATGATTATCATTTTCCTTCAAACCGTAAAGAACCAAATTGTATTTTTTCAGTTTTGTTTTATTTTTTTAATTATTCAGTGCCGTTTTAAGTTCATTGTTTTCCTTCCTCAATACTTCAATATCACTGTTTAGTTCTTTTCTTAATATTACAACTTCATTTTTTATATCAACATTTTGTTTTTTTATTTCCTCATTACTTATTATTAAATTGTTTAATAGTTTTAATAAATCTGCGTTTGTACCCCTCTTTTCATTTATATCGACCATTTGTATTAAAAAGATTAAATTTAATTTTAATTTAGTTTGTCCAGTTGATGCAGTTAATTTCACTATTTTCTTCAATTAATTATTATATTTAGATAGTATATGTCTTTGTACATTACCAGTAGAAATTTTAAAATTTTCACTTGACTTTTACCCACTAATTTTAAAACATTTAACAGAGCACATTTAAACGTACGTGTCTACGATACGATGGTATAATATGCTGATATGGATCATAGGAATCATCTGATTTAAAAAAAGATTGGTTCATATGATTTGAAAGTTCTTGATACCTACTTGATCTCTTAATATTTTGCCCTGTCAACAATAATATTTCCTGTAAAAGTCAATGGCCAATCGTATTCAGATTTTTATTAATAATCTAAAATTTTCAGGTGGGGTATTTTGTTTTCTCATCCAGCTGATTTTACTCCTGTTTGTACCACTGAACTAGCCAGACTAATCAAGCTTATTCCAGAATTTACCAAGAGAAACACAAAAATAATTGCATTGTCCTGTGACTCTGTAGACAGCCACTTAAAGTGGACAAATGATATTTCCGTTTATGCTGGTTGCTCTGGAGATAATTTTCCATATCCTATCATTTCTGACCAAGATAGGGAACTTGCTATCGAGCTAGGAATGATCGATTCTGATGAAAAAGATTCTCATGGTATTCCACTTACTGCAAGAGCAGTTTTTATTGTCGATACAAATAAGAAGCTAAGATTATCTATTTTGTATCCGGCTACAACTGGCAGAAACTTTGAGTAAGAACTGTAATTAAATTATTAATTTTTATTGTCACAACTTTTGTTTTAGCGAAATATTAAGGGTATTGGATTCTTTGCAACTTTGTGACAAATATAAAGTTGCTACCCCAGCAGATTGGGTGGTAAGTTAAAATTTTAAGGTTAATTATTTTTCACTATTTTGTGCTATTTATTTTTAGCAAGGGGACGATGTTATGATCCAGCCGACAGTTCCAGATGATGAGGTGAAAACATTATTCCCACTAGTAACTGTTGTGGCTTTACCTTCTGGAAAGGGCTACATAAGAAAAACTCCACAACCAAATTAAAATTGAGTTATAGGATTATAAAAGTATTTGAGTTTTGTGTTTCCATTTTGTTTAATAATGCATATGCTGTGGTTATGTTAGAAATAAAAACAGTTTTTTAGATATGATTTTATTTACAAGTATATAATAATTGGAATCAAGTTAATACGTCAAAATAACCTAGGGAACAAATAAAAAATTGGTATACGCAAAAAATGAGTTATTTTAATAAAAAATAATATAAATAAAAAGTTTTGACATTCGGGAATAAAAGGCAACGAAATAGCAGACAACTTAGCTAAATCATCCCATTTGTCTGGAGATGTATTATCTGCAAACTGTATCCCATATTCAGACTTAAAATCATTATTTAAAGAAAAAATTATAACTGATGGGAAGGAAAAATATGATAACACGTTAACTGGTTTAAACTTTAAAAATTATCACAAACAAATTCCAAGATTAAGATGGTTCCATTCAGTAACAAACAGGCACTTTGTAATAACTATAAACAGAGAAAGATCAGATCATGCATTAACTCCATCCTATACCCAGACAGCACACCAAATCCTTTGGATATCTACTGAACATCCCAATATCCACTGAATGTCCAGTCCATGGTGGATATCTTTTATATCCATAAAATGTAATTTATAGACATGCAAATGTCCATAAATAATAGTAATTATATAGCAAATTATTAAAAAATTACGCCATTGTGCTCGCCATTGTGGCTAATAGTACCGTTCAGATATTTAAAATTAATTTTTTTAAGGTGTATTCAATATCCCATGGACATCCATATATATCAAAGTCTTAGCGCGGACGCAAACCATCGTGGATATCTACTAGATGTAATTTTTGATTTTGCTTCCTAAGTATAGATGGCGATACCACTTTCGTATCTACTCATGCTCAACCCGCCATAATTGAGTTGATCGAAAATTTTTTCGCTTTAAGACTCTATTAGAGACTGGAGTCGAGAATTTCCATTTATTGCTGAAGAGTCCTAATAAGGATGACTTTTTCCTTAGTGGGCAAACTCAAAGGCAGATTGTTGGAAATTTTTTTTATCTCTATTTTCTTTTGACGTTATTCAATAATCATTTGGTTACTTATGAATGTCTACTAAAGATACCTATAAAATATTTTGCTGAATATCTGAATTTTATATCCTGGGATATAGACGGACATTTGGTTGGATATCCATATTGGATATCCACAAAATATATTCTGTGGATATCTCTAGGATTTCTTGTATTGTCTGGAAGATACTAATTAGATATTTTGCTGAATATCCATAGGATATCTTCTATATTCTGGATATAGACGGACATTTGGATATCCATATTAGATCCACGGAATATTTCTGATATCCTGTGGATATATTGGATATCCACAAAAGATATTCTGTGGATATCTTTGGGATTCGGTGTGTTGTCTGGGTAAATACAAAATAGGCATTGTTGAAAATCCATACTGTTTATGTGGAGAATACGGAAATTTGGAACATACGTTACTGGAATGTCCACTAAACTGGGAGAGCCTAAATACCTTTTATAATGAACTAACAAAAAATGGGCAAATTTTACCAATTAATTTTAACTGTATTAGATTTACTAACAATACTAGTATATTATTTTGTACTTACCAACACATCGAAAGATGTGATATAAAATTGTAAATAATACAGTTTGTAAGCAATAACCTTGCGAATATCACAAAAATTGTACGTGCATTGAAAAAACAAAACAAAAAAAATAATATAAATATATAATATAATACAAAAAAAAAAAATAAAAAAGAAAAATTTATATAAGCACACATACCCAAATACTAACAATAACAAATATTTGTAGATTTGAAACAATATTGAGTATTCTTGGAACAGAAACAAAAGTCTGGCTAATTGGTTCCTACCACAGCCATTCAACTAATTAAAAAAAAAGAAAATATGAGGTGATGTTTTAAAGTCGGAGCAAATTTTTTTTCCGAGCTTATTTTGATATACCTACACAGCATAAATATATACTGTTAGAAGTTAAAAGAATTAACTTCAAAATTATTATCACTCTATATACTATAACACCCTGTATAGCCACTTCATAAAACACGTGTTAACATGGTTTTATAATGTTTTATTGAATATCTCGTAAACAATGTTTGTAATGTAATTAATTAAGGAACAAAATAAAGAATGTCTTTAACGGCATATTGCCTATCACTTCATCGCGTTCGGTTGGTCGAAAGTCAACCCAGATAGCACACGACGTCTGAAAGACGTCTTTTTTGTGTCTTGGTTTGGTCTCAATGTCCTAGGACGTTATTAAGACGTCTGTCAAAAGTCTTAATTCAGACGTATTAATGTGAGAGCTTAAAGACGTTTTTAAGACGTCTTTCCAAATCCATATATTAATGTGAAAGCTCAAAGACTTCTTTAAGACGTCTTTCAGTCGGACGGAAACTTGCACGGTTTACATATTTCAAATTTAAAAGAAGAATCAAATGAAGTGAAGTTTGATTAACACTACATTCAAGACCAAGCTTATTGTGAATTATTGATTATTCTATTGCGTACGCGATTATAGCTGCCAAAAGTATATTTGGGCTACTTTGTGCATTTGTGTTTCGTCTCTTTACTTAAATAATATGGGTCTAAAACCAGAGAAGGAAGAATAGTGTAGTTTCTGTTACCGATGTATCACGTTCCTGGAATATTTTAAAGGTAATAAATGAATATTTGTTTATATACATAGCTAGAACACTAATATCCTGTTCCTTCTAAATAAGAATAATTAAATGAATTCAAAAGTAAACATCTTAATATAAGATTTAATTCAGTTATTCGTCAATTTTCTTTTTTTTAATTTTATGGAGATTTCGAGAACTATTGATATCAAAAGCCACATGTTAGATAGCCATTTTGAGAAAAGTTAAAGTAAAATTGTCAAAATAGGCGATTAAGTTTAATAGCTCATCTTGTCTTAAATGATTTATTATAAAAATTGTAAGAAATTAATTTTTTGTTTTGTTTCATAATTGTCCTTTCGGTTTTTACTAACTTTTACAAAGTATAACTTCCTGTGACTATAATGCTCTTACCTAAATTTCTTTTTAGAAGCGACTATACAAAGGTAACTTCAAATCAAAAATAAAGAAAAAATCAATCCAGTTATGGCTAAAGAGGAGTGATCGAATGCGCTACGAAGAAAATAACTCTGAGGCCCGTATTTATAAACAAAACTCAGCTGAGTCGGACTTGGGTAAGTCGTCCTTGAACCAAAATCGAAGTTCGGTTATATCGCGTGAATTTAGAGATGGGTAGTAACAAATCCGTAAATGTACATAACAGTTACATATTTGCTAATATCCATCTCTAAATTCCTGTCAAACACCAGAACCAACTAGAACTTTAGAGACGTTGTAACCGAACTTCGATTTTAGTTCAAGGACGACTTACCCAAGTCCGACTCACGTAAGTTCTGTTTATAAATACGGGCCTTAGTGACCTGTGATTAATAGATATTTTATCAATAAATATTTTGAATTCTATTTTTTGCATTCTTTATAACCTGCAAGGTTATTCTACTAATTTTAATAACCAAGATGCACGATGATACCCATTTTTAAATTATTTTATATTATTAAACAGGTTATAGAATTAGCAGAATAAAAATAATGAACGTGTTATTTATGGCTTATTTAAGTTTAACCAGACATTATAAGCCATTTATGAGACGTCTTAAAGACGTCTTATTGATGTCTTATTTAAGGCTTCACAAGACCATTACAAGCTATTAATAAGTCGTCTTAAAGACGTCTTATTTATGGCTTATTTTAAGCTCTACAGACCAATATCGGCCATTAATAGGACGTCGCTTTTTGTAACATCAGACGTCTTTCAGGAAATACCAGACGTCTCGAATGTCTTATGCTAGACGTCTTTAAGACGACTTTGTGCTATCTGGGAAGTCCCCCTCTCTCCTGGTCCTGGACACTGAAACGGGTAGACGTGGTATTGTCGACCCCAGTGGCGGCGATATCCTAATTCGCTGACTCTAACAGGGCAGACGTGGTACCGTCGACCCCAGTGGCGGCGATATCCTAATTCGCTGACTCTAACAATACATAATATACATGGTGTTTGAGGTTTTTGTAGCAGTACTTTTAACACTCGATAAAACTTTACAATTAATACAAAAAGTTTATACAAACATAGGTCGACAAACGCTAAATAAATTATATTTTATAATAGAATATTTTTAAGTATACTAAAAATTTTTTTAACGTATTTGTATGAAAAAGAAGCATTTTGATTAATTCTCCTTAACCGATTAAAATTACAATAACTTTTCTCAGTGTACTTTCCAACTAACTTTTGTTTTATAATGGTATTTGTTACGTTTCTATTAACCTATCAATTCGCGAAACGCAACTTAACACTCCTATAAAACAGGCGACACTAAAAACCGCGGAAGCCTCGGAAGGGCTCGGCACTTTACGGAGACGGTCGGTAGATAGAGTTTGGCGGAAATTTTGAATGTTTGCTATTTACAGAGTTCACGTCAAGAAAATAGAACCTAACCTCAAATTTCAACGGCCGTTTGGTTATATTACTTTGTTTATGCCGCGTTTGAGAATCCACATCGGATGCATTTTTTACATCTCGAGCGTTTTTTTATCCACATCGGACACATATCTGTCCCATTACATTTACGCAATGACTGGAGTGAGGTAGAAAGCCAATGTGCATATTTTATTAATAGAACAAGATGCGACTATGGGCGCAGCCATTTTTATTTCTCATCTCACTCGGGAGTATTTATAATAACCATTTTCTGTTTCACATTGTTATTGTTCAATCCACCAAGCTGGTGGATCAGACAATAACAAAGTGAAATAGAAAATGGTTGTTATAAATACTCCCGAGTGAGATAAAAAATAACCTGTCTTCGCCCATAGAGTCGCATCTCAAGCCTATTGACAAGCATTTACGTATACTTAATCAGGTGATCAAAGATTTACTACATCTCAGATGCAGGGCCGACTAGAGGGGGGGGGGGGGGGGCGTCCGGGACTAATTCCTGGGGCCCG